GAAAAGCAATTTTGCTTCTCTAGACCGATTTCAGATCTTACCTTTCACTCATGGGTATATCACGGCACCTCTTGCTTGGTACGAGCGTATGAACTATTCTATTAAGATAATAGAAGTCGATTCGGGATCCAGCTGAAACTGCTACTCAGAATCTTGTCTCTGAAGACGGTCATACGGAAAGACTCGACTCAACCTGATGCTACTGGAATGGAAACTCTTATTTACCGGGTGCCTTCTCCTTTTTGGGTGCTAAGACCCAAAGGGGATAAAATAGTGGCGCTTTGACTCGTGGACACGATAGTTCGGTGAGCGGTCCCGGCTAGGGCATAACAAGTGCTCTCGCTCTCCAGAGCAAACTACCGAGATTCCCAGTCATTTCCTTTCTGACTCCAGTAGTAGAGAGCTCGCATCAAGAATGGGGCACTTAACTACTTCACTCAGAAATGCTAACCCCTTTCTATTTTTTATTTAGGAAAAACTGTTGTTTCCAGGTCGAGTGACTCTAGACAGACCTAGCCCTTCTTTGGAGGAAAAGAATTTAACCTAGAAGAATTAGTCTGGACTGAAATCCCTTCACCATCCCATCAAAGAAGATGGGTATCTCCTTGGCACTAGTTGGGTTGGATTGGTTGATGTCAGAGAAGTGGAAGGTTCAGACTTGGAGAAAGAATCGAGGATAGCCTTTTCTCTCTCTGCTGGACTGGAAGTCGAGTTCTGTCTGACCGTCCTTCCCCTTTCGATAAAGTGGCATTCTTCTCCTTTGGCGGCTTCCACTCAACTGAGCTCCCTGAAGTCGAAAAAACTTCCTTGGTTGATGGCATTGAATGAGCCAAATCCCGATAGTCAAAACTCACGTAATCGTAATAAGAAGAGCTGGTTGATCCTTGCGCCCTCCTCCTTCGCTTCTTCAGAAGTGGCGAACCAATCAATTCCATTCTATGCCGGTTTTCGTTCAGCCGCTCTGATTCCTTGCCTAACCCGTAACCCGACCTGGCCACAGGAATAAAGTATGTCTTTCCCACAGTGCAGTTGAAGTAGGTCAGTTCCTTTCTTCTCGTCTACCATGACTGCTAGTCAAAGCTCTGAGAACGGGTAACCCCGTGTTGAGTTCCCTTCTTGCCCTCATCTCCTTTGATCCCGGACTCCATGAGAAAAGGGTAGAACTCATGCTTTGAGTTTGCTGACTTGATTGATCAAGTCTGTCCTGTCTTCTTTCTTGCTTGATTGCTGTCTTCTCTTCTGGCTACTCCATGCGGCTAGAATGCGGCTAGTAGTCCTAGTCGCCTTGCTTTGAGGAGTCTTAGACAGCTCATCTTCTCCCATTCCGTGCCTGGTTATGTCAAACTATCTTCAATCTCTTTCCCCTATCGGAGTTGGAGATAGGTACACGCGTAATAAAAGAAAGCTTTGACAGATCCAACAAAGACCTGGGAATTAGATCCTGGTACTTTTCTCCCTCTCCTTCGTCGGGCTTGGTCGTTTAACTCCCGTCTCGCTTTCCTTCCCACTCACAGGATATCTAAGGTCTATTTCGCCGATAAGACAGATCCATCGATCACGTTAAGTGCACAGAGCTAGACCCCTCTCGGGTTGGTCGCTTTTCGATGAAGCCTGCACCTACTGGGAAAAAGGAAAAATAGACCTTGAATACTATGATAGAATTGGTTGTTACAGATGTTTGAGAATCAGCTGAAACAGGATTTTGATGTCACTTAGGAAAGGAAATTGAATTTATGCCAGTTAATCCAATAGTATGTATAAGAAGAGGCATATGCCAGACCAGAAGAGGTTTCACATTCATCTCTAGTAAGAAAGCAGAAAACTAGTAAAGTAAAGGCACTCGATTAGCCGGGCGCTAAGACCCTGCTTGCTTGACCGCTAGCCATTAAGTGCTTGGCCCTGGGCATTATTGATTAAGTGAGAGAGGACTCCCACTTTCGCTCTCCCATCAATGTGACTAAATTCATCTCCGTTTGCTATTATGGCTTGGATGAAATTCTTTTAAACCTTCAAAATTTCGTCGACTATTAGAGCTGCTGCAATCCAAACCTCAAGGCTAAGAGCTTATTCGAGAACAGCTTACTCTGATTCAATTGCAAAGATCACATTCCTACTGTCAAGCTAAAGGCGAAAGAAGTGGCTTAGCTTAAAAGCTCCTCTTCATAGACACATGGGCAATCCAAGGATTTAGGTTCAACTCAATCTCCCCTTCGAACTCGGCTTCGTTCCTCTCTTCTTGCTATCTATCGTCTATTGTAGGATGCTTTTTTACTCCCAGAATCTAGGGCGAGGACTTTCCCTCCAGTCTCTCTAAGCGGAGTAAGCTCCCTTCTGCAATCAATACTGAAGAAAGCCCTTCCCCCTTCTCTTTCTTTAATGTAGGAGTGAAACCCGGCAAGATCCGACTTGAAACTTGAAAGCGAGTGAATAGCAGGCTTGTGTCCTTTAATCCAGAATGGCTGCTTGGTCTTCAGTGAGCGAAGTCACTTCCTCAAGAGAGTTCTTTGAGCCGGGTTCTTCCCTTGCCCTTGACAAAAGCACAAGTTGTAACGAGTCTTTCAACTCATGAGATGCTTTCTAATATACGCTATTTTGAGTTTAGTGAAGGGCTTTGGTTGGGTCTAGAGAGAGCGAGTGTGATTTTCTTTCTATGGCTCTCCAGATGTGACATCGAAGGCTATTGCTTCTGTCTTCGTCTGGCAGCTATCTTTCTAAAGAGGAGAGAAAGAAATCCCCCTACCTAAAGGGTACGCATCTCCGTAAACCTTTTAGTCGAGCCACATTCTGAACGTTCCATGGACTTCCATCTGGAAAGGGCTTTCCGCCAGAAGGGAGTCAAAATGCTTTCTTATCACAGTGGATATGACTGCTTTCCTTTCCCAGAACTCTATCCCTCAATCCGCAAAGGCCTCTCTTTACGAAGAGTGCTCACATAAGAGAAATTGTACATGCAATTTCTCTTTATCCCAAGCCAATCTGTCACACAATCCTTTGTTCCACTTCAAAAAGAAAGTTTGATCTTAGATCGATATCCAGTAGTAGTATAGTGTAAGGTAGGGTTGGGTATAACAGGACTTGAACCTGCGACCATTAGGTTAAAAGCCCAATGCTCTACCAACTGAGCTATACACCCTAAAAAAGATGTAGTAGTAAATAAGGATTGGTGCGGAGGGCGGCCCCTCTTCTTCTCATCATAAGGGGCTTGGGCTCTAAAGCCGGCCTTACTCAACAAGCACCTTACTAAGATAAGAAAGGTTGCTTGTTTCCACTCATTGAGGATTCTATCTACAAAAGAAGGTCAACGGGGGATACTCAAGTTGCTCTCACTGACACCATCTACGAGAAGGTGAGGTCGTCTTTCGCCGCCATACGGTTCGCCTTAAATTAAAGACGGAGAAGGGGAGGAGCGGTTATCTATGTAATTACGGTCTTTGTTTTGTTGGCCGTTGTTCCGGTCGAGCACTCTCTTTTCTTTGTCCAATTCCGTCTTACCAAACAAGACTGACTCCTGACCAACCCGCGAAGGGTTGTGAGGTTGGATCAGGTACGAAGAATGAATCTATATCTGTGTACGGAAGCTGCCGGCCGGCGGCCGCTCAACTGTTCGAGCGTAATGCAGTGGTGGTTGGTTCCGATTCGACAAGGGTAGAATGCCTGGTCGAAGGTCCAGTACAGTAGGTATCAGGCGTGTTCGTTTTGGCTCCCGAGCGAGAACGAGAAATAGGCGATGCACCATCCTTGCTGCTACGTACGTTGACCTTGACTTGACGGATTTATCCAATTGAACCCACAATCAAAGGAGGACCACATGGGGCTCGACGAAACAGAAAGTATCAGCATTAAGAAACTTCTTGGGGTTAGCAGAAAGAGCCGGCATTCATTTCTTCATTCATATTCATAGCTGAGTCTACTAAAAGAGGGACCAGCCTCATCGTGGTGATTATAGGACATCTCTGATCGTTCACCTCTAATGTGACACGTTCCCTCTCAGTTATATGATCAACAAGTTCGCAAGGTAGAATTGGCCGAAAAAGAAGTGAGTGAAAAAAAGATAGATGAGAAATCCCCCGGATGTAGTCGCTTAGTCTTTCTTTCTATGTCGCGCGACGAACCGGGTTACCAAAGTTGCGATTCGAATCAAAGAAAAGAAAAGGTAGTTCGCTGGGAGCATATAATATCAGGCTTCTCAGAGGTGTTGGTTCGAATCCAACTCGTGACGCCACTTGCGGGTGAATTTGTGAAAACCAAGCTTAAGGAGCAGAAATTGACCCTAAGGGTGCGGGAATTAGAATATGATCTAATAGAGGAGCGGCGAAGGGAGCCGTTACCAGTGATCATAAATGGGAATGAAGGCATCAGGGTGGTCGGTAGGTCCGAGAGCACACCAAGAAAGCCTTTCAAGGAGCACTTCAAACAGGAGATGGCTAAACAAGTTTACAAGGAATTTTTTGAAGTGGCCGAAAAGATCCCCACTGGCACCTTTGAAGGGACTAGCGCCAAGCTCGAAATTAAGGAGATCCGAAAATGGTTGGAGCCTCGAAAGAGGAACTAATCAGAGCTAGAATAAACACACCATGGGGAGCTACATCTGCGCTTAGGAGAAGAATCCTGTCTGACTGACCCTACCATGATTGAATGACTGAGCTATGCCATGGAGGAAGTCTTTCTATGAGCATGCCGTGGAAGAACTACAACGCTACTGCCTTGGCTAAGCTGCTTGCCCGAAGCTCTGTTCCTATCACTCAAAAAAGAGACATCTTTAACTGACATGGATATCTTTCGGTCTAAATTCCCGTATTTCAATCTGATGGTCGGAAATTCCATATCTTTTGACATGTAACTGAGCGATCTCCCTCGTATGGCAATGCCAAAGCAAAAGAGTGGAGCAGCGTCTCGCGGAAATGAATTGACCAGATCGATGGAATTGCATGCACGATGCTGAGTTCTCTCCTTGTCCACTACTTCTGATGAACGAAAGCGATCGGACAAAGGCCTATGGATCTACTGTCTATGGATCACTGGCTGGCTTAGATGGGCTTGACTTAGACGGCTTAATAATATAATGGCTTAATCCGCATAATCTACTGAGGTTGTTGAGCAATAATGCAGGCTCAGCTGGGATAACAATTGGTGGAGGAACCGGTATGACCAAAGGAGTAGAAGATGGGATCGGTAGAGATTGGATGTCGAGAATGCGCCTTGCGCAAATGCCTTTTGAAAGAAGGGCTTGTGAATCAGAAAAAGTGGCTCTTGAAGAAAGAAATGCCACATCTGCTATCTGTCGGCTCGATACAGTCATTTTGTATTAGTAAGGCATTCGCCCCTGGTCTTTTCTTTCGATTCGGGCGTATCTTTAATCTTAATATTAATCTCGAAATTCCCATTGAATGACCAGCTGAGATGATAAGAAGATTCGACGACATCCGAACAAGCTCATGACATCTCGGGAGTAGCTCGCTCTTAGGGGAATAGACGATCTTCGAGAGATTCTCGACTGGGGCACGACTTGCTTTCCAGTAGCTTCACTTGCTACCGTTACGGAGGAAGACTGAACCTTTCCCATTTCAGCGATTCCCAATTTACCTCAGTAGGATGCATGCATGGATACCACCCTCAAAGGGATTGCTACAAAACCTCTTAGATTAACGAAAACCGCCACTCCTCAGAGAAGCTTAGAGGAAAGAAATCCAACAGTAAGGGATTACGATTAGAGTTCAGCAGCACTATACGATCGTTCATACCTTACTTACAGCACTTATACCATAACAGAGAACCCATACATAAGAACCAATAGCAATAGGAGATTCTTTTGAAACTAGTGCCTCACCACGTAAGGGATAGGATGTCCTACTTCGCAAAACTGATTTGCTTAGCCGACCTAAACCTAAGCGCTACACCTTCGTTGAGTAGCTTCAGAAAGTCTTTAAAAAGTAGGTTACACAGGTTGTCTACAAGATCACCTAGAGGTGTGAAGCGATCTCGTACTAAACGAAATGTCCATACGAAAGGACTTGAATAGACTTTCCCCCATAGAGGAGGAAGATTTGCTCTACCCTGCGTCTTCCTTTCCCGTCCTTCTTTTTATCTTAGGCATTGGAAAGCCCGAGCTCAATTCAACGTCGTAGCCCTTCCTTGTCTGAGAAAGAGAAAATTCCTTCTATTAAAGGAAAGTCTCATCCCTAGCTACTATATATATATTACCCCCGGGCTGCGGGCCTTTTCAAAGGATAGGAGACTGGTTGAAGAGTCAACCTTCTTTGCAAGGGAATCTGTCCATCAATCCCATTCGGGTTCATATGCCTCTTCAAGTAAGTCATTTACCTAGTGATTACTGTTGACATGGATAAATTCCCATTCCTGCTTTCAGTTATGGATTGACTAGTTATATTTAGGCTCTAAGCCCTTATTCTTTCAAAATGGACATATTATATTGGGTTGATTAGGTCAATCAGGTTAATCCCGAAAAGCTGACGAGAGCTCTTGCAGCTGCTACTCTTTCTGGAAGAGCTTATTTTAGCGGCAAGTCTAACAGCGGAATTGCCCACTTCTCTTCCAAAAAGCCAGCCGATTATCTTCAATGCGTCGGGCAATCACTTTTCCCTCTTAAGTGAGAGTTCAATCCTGCCAGTTGAGCCTTTTCCCCTTCTTTTTATTGGCATAATCTAAACGACAAAGTAGGATCAGAAGGCTTACGCACCCTGGCGACGAAATGAGTTCGCTTCGCACCTTCCTCAGCTTTCAGGAAAGATCCGACGCAGCTATCGAGAGATATAAGCTTGCCAGCCCGGAGTGGAGGGAAAGAGTAGCTCCTTGCCAACAGCTGAAAATTCTACAGAAAAAAGAAAGGTTCTTTGATGCGACGCCCCAGCTCGGATAAGACTGAAAGAACAACTTCCCACCTACTGACTGAGTAAAGGCTTGTGCTATACTCTAATATAATAGGCATTCGCCTTTCGAGTTCTTGTCTCTTTCCTTACTCTAAAGAGTCAGCTATAAATTACCTTAGTAGAAAGCTATAATGATAGCAAGAAAGGCGACTAGTGAAGATGCCGAGAATGCCCTTGGGAAAGAATACGCTCTTTTCGCGAATTTGAAGGGCTTGTTTCTTCTCTTTGCCGGATGGTTTAGCCACTTTTTTGAAAGTCGGCCTACTTCGAATAAGCAATCACAAAGAATGGTAAGCGCTACGAACCTTGCCTTACTAATCTCTTTCGAGATACAGAAGGCACCCATCTGGCCTTTGAAGGAAGGCTAGTCACTCCCGCTCGACTTCCTGAAACTAAGGAACTTGCTTTAGATCGGCTCATTTGGAGGCGATTTTCCTACATCTTTTTTGTTCTTGTTAAGAAAGTCCCGAAGAGAGTACGGATCCATTTTTTTTGCTAAATTCTTCTTTTTTATTGTTCTGTCAAAGGTTTCCTTATCGCTCGGATATCTCTTTATGGACGAACTCCAGAAGGCGGTTGCGCTATTCTATCCCTCTTCCTTTGCTTGAGAGTCTCTGTGGTTCGTGTTTTCCTCGCCCACAGTTCTTTTATGGTACCTTTTGGTATGTATTGCCCCCTCACTCTATATCAGATCCACCAGACGAGAAAGTCAATTCCGAACTGCTGCTGAGTCGTCGGACTTATCCACCAAGGGATTCGTGGAATTTCTGTGGATTGCGTTGGGGGAAATCTACCAAAGCTAGGCAGATAGATAGACTCCTTTCCTGCTTATAAGGGAGAGCAAGAAAGAAAATCAAATGATTGTTTTTTAATCAGCGTCCCCTTTTCTTTGGGGTATGCAGATACTAAGAGTCCTCTCACTACCAACCAGTAGACATCATCTGGCTGGGTCTTGCCGGTATCAACAACGAGAAAAAAACAACCAAATGAAAACAGCAACTAACTATGGCTCTTGGCCCAGACAACGTCCTAGGCGTAGGGGGGATCGGAGCAACAGGGAAGGCCTAGACGGACGTTTTTATTCCTGGGCTGCAGTAAGTAGATCGAGAGGTCGTTCCGCCCCTTGTCCCCCAAGATGGGTAATATGTTCTCAATAAATGTTGCTCCAATCTGACCTAGCTGGCGAGCGATCCCAGTTTAGGCAGAGAACAAGACAGCAAGCGAGCGTACCTTTGTTCGCTTCTTCTCCACCAAGCACGGAAGTTTAAGGATAACTGTAGGTCGGTGGATACCTAAGGAAACTCCGATTCGATCCGCCCCCCGGCTGGGAGGCATTTACCTCATCCCGATCACAAGGAGAGGTTCACCATGATGGGGGGTCCTCTCTTTTTTCCCTTCCGGAAAGAATGCATAGGGGACCATCCTTTTGTTGCGGCATGCTCTTCAGATTTACGGATTCGTAGGGGGCCTCAGGCCCTACTTAGTTGACTGACAATGACAAAGGCTTTCGAAACTAAGTAGGGCCTTTTGAATTGAATCTTAAGTAGTCTATCAGTGGGGCGAAGCTCAAATGACCCTTTTCAGTAGGGGAGCGAAAGGTTAGACCTTCTAAAGGCAGCGAACAGCGGTTCTTCTATGTAGGTATGGCCCCTTGACTCTCCTAACGTCGAGCTAAGTGACTTCGTAACCTTTGCGTAGCGTAGTAGAATGAAGGCTACGCACCGACGCTCTCTTATCTATTAGCCTAAGCTCGCTAACTTGCTCGCCTATTATACTACACCCTACTATACAATACATTAGTAGGGTAGGCTAAGCTAACGCTTACTTCTACTAATGTATTGTATAGTATAGCCTTTTCCTTTTTGAAAAAGCCTTTTTTTTCATTATCTTTCATAAGTCAAGTAGGCGAACCTAAAGATCCTTAGTAGCGTTGACAAAGAAGAACAGCCGGGACAGCGAATCTTTTTTTTATATCCTTATATTATATATATAATTGTTCTTATATATATGCCAGCTTGACAATTACATTGCCTCTTGATTTGATCTGAGGTGCGAAGATAAACATCTCTTTTTTATGACTTCCACTTATCGATCCCGGCCCGGAAAAGTGACCGACCAGGGCCCTATTGATGAATGGAAAGGGTTTATGAGCCCTAGCCCTTGTAAGCCCACACCTGTGTAGAGTAGATCGTTCAACACCTGCGGCACAAACCCATTTTTACCTATTGGTCCTAGTATCATAGGCGACCGAACGGCCGCCCCCTAATTACTAGACCGACCTGCTATAATAATTCCATAAACACCTAGCGAAGATATGGCAAACAAATAAAGTAGCCCTATGTTCGGATCTGACAATACCATACCATAATCAAAAGGTACAACGGCCCGAGCGACCAGACTTAACATAAATGTAGCCACTGGAGCTATTCTAAAAAGGGATAAATTAGCACTACTTGGTGAAATAGGTTCTTTTAGAATCAATTTCAAACCATCTGCTAGAGGTTGTAACAATCCGAACGATCCCACTACATCAGGACCCTTTCGACGTTGCACAAAAGCCATTACTTTACGTTCAGCTAGCACTAAAAAGGCTACTCCTAGTAGAAGTGGTATAATTATTCCAAGTATTTCAGCTGGAACAGCTATGTACGTTTTCGATTTTCTATTCACTCATGATCTGGCCTGGTCGACCCAATCATGATATTGAAGGATGGGACCTTTTCTCAAAAACCCCGGATCCCGGGAAGAGTTGAAGATGGTGCAACATAGAATCTTGTTACGTTACTTCGAATGGAATCTTAGCCCGCCTCACTTGCTTTCTTTACTACATAAAGACATAAGCGAAGTCCAGGGATTTAATTTCCTTCTAACTAGTGGCTGAGAGTATACCTTCATTCAACAGATTTGTGATTGAGTCAATAACATGCTCTGGGTCTGGAATCTTTGCTCTTCTCTTTTGCATTTCCGCTGCCTGCGTTCTTTCTTCGTGTCCGTTCATATCGCAAAGCGGGGCGACGCCAGCTATAATGGTTGGTTGAAAAGAGCGGGGCCAACCAAGACCCCCTAAGAAAGCTTTGTTCGATAAAGCAAACGATTCGTTCCGACAACTTCGGACCAGATTAACCCTTTGAATTAGCCGATCTTACAAAATCGATCGGGCGGGCTGGTTGGGAAGGGTTTATTAGCGGAGAAAAGAATCGCTGAGAGATATATTCTACTATTTAGTCAGAACGAATGAGTGGCTGTGCAGCATGCTCCGGAGGAGATTGACCCTTCCCCGAGTCAGTCCAGTCAGTAAAGGGGAAGGCCTGCTGTCTAGACTGCATTTCGGGAGTTTGAACACCATCCCATTTCAACCAAAAATACAACCCTGTCAAAGGTATCTAACCTTCCTTCCTTATGAGTGGAAATCGAATCCCGTTTTGTCTTTTTTTGCATAAAAACTAGCCAGCCCAAATCTTATATATATATATTACGTTAACGTTACGAAATTTGTTACATATCTCGTTGGGGAGTCGACCCCACACAACAACGACCATTCACTTGAACTCTAACTGTCGCCCGCTAAACCACTTAGCTACCGTGGTAGGGCTGTGTCAGGTTGACGGCTAGTGAGAACTTCTTTTCTTCTCTGCAGGCCCGGGGGAGGGAGTTATACTTGAAGTTTGCTGATCTACCGGTAAGGGAAGCGCTGGGCTTTCTCAGTTCTGTCCCCTCTCTTTGCTCTCGTTCACCAGTGTGGAGGGCGGCGGATCCGCTTTCTCCTCTAAAGTTAGGCCTCTTTGACGGGGGCGAAAAGACCACTGGTCTTAGATTGAAAGCCGAAGTCAAGTATTCTCGGTGACGATATTGTCATTGCAGATAGTAGGATGGCTGAGGGATAGCGGGGCTTTCCTTTGAACCCGAAAAGCCTTTGTGATAGTGGGTGCTTTGACTTTGCCAAGCCACGGGCGGATAGCGCCTCTCTCCTCGAATGTGTGCGGACCTTGTCTCCTCGCTGGCCGTCATCCCGGTCCTTCGTCGGGTTCCGGTAGAGCCTCAGTTGAACCTGGCCTTACGACTCTTTTGGGCTGGCTATCGGGTGCTAGGCTCATGGCGCACCCGGACGTCATTGCTTTCATCTGTGGTTGATATAGCATGAAGCTTTCAAGAAAGCTTCCCTCCTCTTACCTTTTTGGATCAATTGAACAACTTGACAGATTAAAAATCAATTCCGAACCGCTATAGAAGCGAACGACTTGATCGCGAACTATACTCTTTGTTTTTTCGACTGACCGACTCGAATCGATTGGGCTTCGTTCCGGGTAGTGTTTAGTCATAAGCCTTTCTCTTTGGGTTTTCACTTGTCTGCTTTCGTTCCACTCCTTTACAGTGCTTTAATTAAGTAAGAGTTCAAAGAATAACCTATAAGAATAAATTTTTTTAATACCCGAAGTCTCTCGGAACTGACCTCAGCGACTTGAACTTCCTATCGGCTTCGAGCCGAAAGACAGTGAAATGGAACCCGGAATAGATCTAGCTTTACGAAATCTTTTTAAGACAGTCAGTCATCGATTGACTGCTATTCCCACTTCTGAGGAGTGAAAGGCTGGAAAGCAGTTCTTTTCCTAGGTTGACTCATGAGTTGGTGTGCAAGACCAATTGCTAGGCTCTCCTCTTGCTTAGATGTTCTAACAGCGGGATTTTAGCTTTGCAGGATTTTATTCCAATTTGAGTAGAAAATAAAAATTCTCTTTATTCCTCCGTTCATACGTATTTCATACATTCCATATTCATATATGGAGTTAGATAAAATTTTATGTGATTCTGTAAACAGAATATCAATTCCATCAGTGCTGGATCGATCCATATAATTTATTGAAAAACGATCCAATAATGGGATTTCTTTTTCAATAAATGGGAAATTAAAAATGCTTGGGGATGGAAATGGGGGAATGTCTACAATACCTGGATTTAATCAGATACAATTTGAAGGATTTTGTAGGTTCATTGATCAGGGCTTAGCAGAAGAACTTTATAAGTTTCCAAAAATACCCTATACACCCCTCTGCCCCTTTAGGGTATATATAGCCAAGGCCAAGTATCCTATACAAACCCCAGCCACTTTAGGGTATATATAGCCAAGGCCAAGCTGCTATAGTATACAAATACACTCTTATATTATCTTTTACCCTATACAACCTTCTGCACCTTTAGGGTATATATAAAATACACTCTTATATTATCTTTTACCCTATACAACCTTCTGCACCTTTAGGGTATATACACTCTTATATTCTCAAATACCCTATACTAGCCCCGATAAATCCCAAGATATCATCGCCGGTCTTTCTCTACAATGAGAATTGAACAGGATTCTTCTCATTACTGTTAGAGAGAGTGGATCTTTATATTTAAATAAAATGAAAAAAAGATCCAGGGTAAGGCTAAGGGGGCAAAGCGGAAGGAAGAGAGGTGAAGCAAGACTAAAGCCAATGGTAAACTTGTCCTCTTGTCCATAGGGACCTCGTGGCATACAACCGAAACGACTCCCACTAGATAGCCGCCCCTTTCTTTCTTTTTACAGCCTCGTGGACGGACGAAAGAAGGGAAGTTACAGAACGGGGCAGTGGGCTCGCGAAGTAGACAGCAAACAACAGCTTCTCAGCCCCCTTTACTTTATTATATATATATAACAAGAGCGATTATATTCATATATATTATACAAGCGCTAGCGCGCCCCTTTCTCTAAAGGGGCGTAAGCACTTCACTCGCTAGGGGATGGGATTCATTCACTTGCATTCCTGCTAGCACTACAAAAAGCTCCGGTCTTAACGCCCTTACTACTGCTGTGCAGCCTTTCCTCGGGTTCGTAGAGTCGGGTTTACCGTTTACCCACAACGGGGGAACCGCCCCCACCAGGCAGGCGGCCACGGGTCATAATGCACTCTTCGCACAACAAATCCACTTTGAAGTTGACTTATTCGCTCGGCCAATCGTCGGAATGTGTACGAGATACCATAAGGGCCCAATATCTCAATAGCGCCTTTGTCTAAAGCTTCGAATGAGACTTCATATCCGAAACGCAGGAAGGATCTGACTAGAAAGTCATTCAAAACTTGATCGAAGAACCAGCGTTTATTGAAGAAGGTATAGAGTCGATTACAAAAAGTACTAGTTTGAAAGGCTCGTTGGAATTGATCCGCTACGGGATTTACATTATACGCAACTGCAGCGCCCGAAGTACTACCTAATATGGCTAGCTTTCTTGTGGTAGTAATTGCGAACATCTCTCCTTTTTTCTTAGCGTGCACAGTTTGCTTGCATGCCGCCTTAGGCACATCTCTCTTTCTTAGTTTAACGCTGGCCTAATGAATGAAAATAAGTCTTTTAGTAAGCCGTATATAAGCAGCTGTTTAGTGTATAAGCAATTCTTTAGTGACCGCACCGAAAGGTACGTACGGTGTAGGTTGGTTGAAGATGATGTTACGCGGCGTTCAGAACCAGCCTTGAAGTGAATGAATTAGAAAGAACGAAGAAGTAAGGAAATGAGACGACTCTTTCTTGAACTATATCATAAACAGATCTTCCCCTCCACACCAATCACGAGTTTTTCTTCATTCCTCTCGTATATCGTCGTAACGCCCTTAATGCTAGGTTTTGAAAAAGACTTTTCATGTCATTCCCATTTAGGTCTGATTCGGATCCCTTCGTTGTTTCCTTTTCCTCCCGCACCTTTTTTTCGAAATGAGAAAGAAGATGGTACACTCGAATTGTATTATTTAAGTGCTTATTGCTTGCCAAAGATCCTACTTCTACAATTGGTAGGTCACCGGGTTATTCAAATAAGTTGTGTTTTCCGTGGTTTTCCCATGTTACAACTTCCGTACCAATTCGGTCGATCCGGAATGGATTGGTTAAACATTTCATTAGGGAGCCTGGTTTTGACTCTTATGTGTGGTATTCATTCTCGTTCGGCTCTTGGAATCACATCCAGTAGTGGTTGGAACAGCTCGCAAAATCCAACCACTTCACCTACTTTATTGCCCCCAACGCTTTCTCGTACCTCTATTGAAACAGAATTGTTTCATGTTCTTTCATCGATTGGTTATTTCTCTCCGTTCGTATCTCTTTTTCCAATTTCGGTCTCGATTAGTTTACAAGATTGAATGGCCAATTCTCCTCCGAACCCTCGATTCGATTGTTTTCCAAGAATGTTGAGCCGGGTATGTAAGCCATGTATCTGGGAAGAACTTTAAAGAAGGGCTTTCGGTTTTTTGCACCCTGTTTTGGTCTTGCTTGCAGCTATTTAAATAAGAAAGTCTAATGAAAAAAAGAAAAAGAGAGATCGCAGATCGAGCGTTAAATGAGGTAGTTTACTAACTCGACCAGCCAGAGGAAGAGGATGCGCCCAGAGATGAGGGCGAGGAAGATAGGCGTCTGTCTTAGTGAGAAGCTATACCGTAGGGATTAGATCTTGAGCTAGGAGCAGCACCCAAGGAAGAGGATGTTGACTACACTTAGTTAGGTAAGGCAGGCTAGTTCGTTTGGTAGGCTCTCCAGACAGACCAAGGGCAGAGGCGGGATAGTGAAAGTCCTCCTTCTTTTGACTATGTCGTTGAAAAGAAAGCACTCCCATCAAAGCCTTCCCCGGCTGCCGGTTAGAGCAAAGACCTTTGGAAGTTTCTTCTGTGGCTTATACACATGCACGGCACACTGGCTATATTGAAAAAGCTGCTTAGATAGAGCTTTCGAAGGTACTGAGGAGTGGTTTGGTAGTTTGGTCAGGATGCCCGGGAAGGTTTTCTTCTTCTTTAGGAGGCCTCTTACCTTTCCCTTACGCTTCTTTCCCGAAATAGGAATGGAAGCTTTGAATGAAGGTCATAGGATTGGTATCGACGTACCAGTATCTTCCAACCAATGGAATGGTTTTATATTACTATTAAAAAAAGGGGGGCTTTGCTGACAGGGCGCTAGCTTTCTAAAAGAGTGTGGAAGATCCTGGGTAAGGCTTTCACCTTTCACATCCCATTTCAGTACGTTGCCTGATTCTCTCTTCATTGGCTTAGTCAGCCGGGGCTTCTTCCACTTCAAGGCCCTAAGAATGAATATCCCATCCAGTTGACGAGACACTAATGACCTAAAGTAGCCAAAGCTCATGGAAAAAGGAGTTCTTGCCGCCGGTACTGTTTTTTACTAATTCCCAGATGAGACTCTTTCCCAAGAGCCCACAGAGAAGCGACTGGCCAGACAAATAGCTTAGTCGCAGGAAGATTCCCCAACTGAGGTACAATAGGTCTCAGGATCATCCGATCTATGAGAATCTCTCGGAAAGCTCTCGTCGACTCAACCGATCAATAGAAGGAAGGACCACCTCTTAGAGGAGCCTCTTCTAGTTCTTGCATGACGATCCCTTCCCCTTTCTTCACATCAAGGGATAGAAAGGAATAAGATTCTAGCCAAATAGCCTGATTAGATTATTATATCGAAAGACTTATATTCTAGGAAGGTTAGCACTATCCCGAAAACAGCCTACTTGAATTGAATAAGGTAGAGTCAGATTCATATGTAAAGGCTAGGCACCTTCCCGCATTCGCACCTTAAATAAAGTATTAAAGAACTAATGCTACATCTGATCTGCTAATTGAATTAGATATTCTATCTCTTCCTTGGAACAGGTGAATCAGAAATTGGATCTCCATGCCCAGAATCTGCTGCTTGAGAATCAGCTGTGGGACGTCGAGGTAGTGCTAATGCTAGCAATAGCAATAGGGTAAGGGAAAGCAAGCAAGCCAATCAGTGAGTCATTCCAATCAGTCCTTGCATTCCGGGCAAGCCAGTACGGTACCAATGCTTTCTCTTTATGGTTTATAGATAGTAAGTAGTGAGCCAGTCAAGTGAGAAGAAAGGGGAGGAGGTAAGGAAGTGAAGTAGGTAAGCTCAGTCTCAGTCAAGTAGTTAGCAGGTTCAGGATAAACTTCAACGATAGGCGGGGAAAGAGAACTACAATCAGTCTACGAAAGTAAGGTTGTTAGCAGGTGAAGTAGTGGAAAGATGAAGTAGTGAGCCACTCACGTAACGGTGTTAGCTGTCCTAAGTTCATACTTAGTAGCTCATCAGATAGTCCGTAGCGAACTCTTTTTTGAAGTTGAATAAGCAAATGTGGCAACAGGTGGTATATCCTTTTATAAGTAGTTTTGATCCCCACTCAATGGAAATTTCGTTTTGATTGAACGAACCCAAGGGGAAAGACAGACTGACGAGCAAGGGACCTAAGCGCTAGGCCTTTTTCTTGCTACGCTGCTCCTTCCTCTGTTCGTTCTTGTCTTTCCTCGCCCCTTGGGGGCTGGGGCCCTTTCGTTAGCAGGGTCAAGCATAGGTTCTCCTATGGGGAACCGAAGCGCTCACTTCTTCTATGAGTGAAAGGTGTTGTACGGCTTCTTTTCGCTCTAGAGATCTTGAGCTCAATGGGCCTAACTTTTACCGACCTCCTTTCTTTCGTTCTGTCTATATGAAGTAGGGTCTTAGAGAAGGTTTTCAGCTCTAAGCAAGAAGAAGCAAACGTAGGGTGGTCGGAGATCAGTGACTGCAAGGGATGTGAGTGCGCTCTGATCGTAGACCTCCTAGGCACCAAGCCCAGGATTGCACTTCGCTAACCCGCCCTTATCAGCTCAACCGAAGTCTCTATTATAACAGAAGTGGAAAGGACATACCTTGAATACAGATCGAGATTCACTCTGGCACTGATTTATAAAAATTTAAGAAGAAACCGATTCCTCAACAGAGGAGTAGAAGAAGGTAGAGGTACAGCGGGCAGGCTTTCCGACTAATGATAAGAACGGATCAGAGACCAGTTTCAAGATACGAGGCTCTGGAAGAGGGAAGAGAACAACCAACCACCTTCCTCCGTAATTGTTGCAGGCACTGGGCTCCAATCTGAGCCCTTTGGAAGATTGGATGTGTTTGGAGTGCCCTTCGCCACCAGATGAATAATTAGCAGGAGATGGGGTCTCGATAAGAGGTTTCGAAAGGGATTAGTTCATTCGCAGGAATGGTCTCGTAGATGGCTTATCTTCCCTCGGATGGAGCTTCTTACCTGTAGTTGGAGATGCAATATATGGGGTTCCGAGCTAGGGGAGAGATCAGCATCGATAGGACATGGAGATGTGGGCTCAGAAGGGAGTGGAATAGAGGGTCCGAAGGAGATAGCTTAGATGCCGCCACTGGGGGTTCACTTGCTTACCTTGTCGGGTCACCTGGAGAGGTCGGTCGAAGGTTGCATTGGATTCCAGGACGGAGAAGCAGAGTTTGCTAGTTAGCTTTCCTTCATCACAGGGGTTTCGTAACCAGATTCTTATCTATCACTTATCGAGGGATCAGTTCCCAATTAGACTAAAACAGGGGAGCAAGCAAAGCTAGTCAAAGAAGAAGGGCCGGCTTCCCTGCGGAGCCAGTTAGACCACCATGACCATCACCTGTGAAGAGAGTTTCCACAGTCTCATCTCAAAGAGGAGGCCCTCGCCCGACAGAAAGAAATGAACGAATGCACCGCTAGAGGACTATGGGATAGACGGCGTACGTGTACCATATTGAATTTCCTACGAGACGGACTAAGGGACTATGGGGAAGAATCGGAATGAGGGATGGGTAATCAGTCTCGATAAGTCAGTTTGGATAATCGGCTGTCATAGGATGGTCTACAATCAGGGCCGGATCGGGGCCTTAGATCCTATTTCCTGGTTAACCAAGCAAGGGAAGCTCATCTCGAACACAAGGAAGATGAAAACTTAGATATATATCGTATTAATATGATTAATCATGCCCAGCTAAAGAACAAGGAAGCGCTTAGCTTACTTTTGTGGTAAGTCAGATCAGACCCGCCCTATTGATAGACTGCCGATACAGGACGAGAGCCCGACCGATTGAGACAGGGCAGATGCAACCTAATTCTTTGAGTTAGGGTTGAATGTCTACTTCCAGGTCTTCTCACAGAGATGCACAGAGGAAGAGAACGAACTGAATATATAACTCAGTGAGTGCTTTCGAAGAAAGGGGAAAATGAAATAGGAACAACCGCGCTGGTCGTAATAGATCGACTTTCATGCTCCAGTATGAAAGTTCCATTTCAGGGAAGGACGACGTACCATGATACTTTCTGTTTTGTCGAGCCCTGCTTTGGTCTCTGGTTTGATGGTTGCACGTGCTAAGAATCCGGTACATTCCGTTTTGTTTTCCATCCTAGTCTTTCGCAATACTTCAGGGTTACTTATTTTGTTAGGTCTCGACTTCTCCGCTATGATCTTCCCAGTAGTTCATATAGGAGCTATAGCCGTTTCATTCCTATTCGTTGTTATGATGTTCCATATTCAAATAGCGGAGATTCACGAAGAAGTCTTGCGCTATTTACCAGTGAGTGCTATTATTGGACTGATCTTTTGGTGGGAAATGTTCTTCATTTTAGATAATGAAAGCATTCCATTACTACCAACCCAAAGAAAGACGACCTCTCTGAGATATACGGTTTATGCCGGAAAAGTACAAAGTTGGACTAATTTGGAAACATTGGGAAATTTACTTTATACCTACTATTTCGTCTGGTTTTTGGTTCCTAGTCTTATTTTATTAGTAGCCATGATTGGGGCTATAGTACTGACTATGCATAGGACTACTAAGGTGAAAAGACAGGATATATTTCGACGAAATGCTATTTCTTTTAGGAGGACTATAATGAGGAGGACGACAGACACCTTTTTAGCTCGAGTACGTGTCCGGGGGAGAGAGACGCAAGCTACCTTTCTTTGATCCACCTTCACGGACAGGGAAGAGAACGAAAAGAGTCCGCGTATGGTGGGCGTGGTAGGTTCGAGGATCTTACGCGGCGGAGCGAACTCTTCTATCGTCTTGCATTTCCTCTGGCAGCGTAGCTGCACCCCCTCGATCCATCGTACTAGAGCGATCCGAGAAGAACGATTAGGGTCATATTCTATCCTTTCTACAATGCCCATAGACGAAGTGCTTCGTTTCAGATCCATTCTTCGCTGCAATCGCTTCGATCCACCCCCTCGGTGAAAAACAGTAATACGCCCTGAAGAATTCCTACCAGCGGACTTCCCTGTACTCAAAGTGAATTGTCTCAGTGCTTGGCTTTGTCTCATTGTTTATCTCGTAATCATTCGATTCCGTTCGAATTAGCTCCTACTCCTTCTTCTTCTTTATTCGTCCTTGGTCCTTTTTACACTATACTACCTTACTATATTCTATTTCTCTATGTTATTGCTCTACAGTGAAATCATATGTCATTAGTAGAGAGTAGTAGTATTGGTATTGCCTTAGACTTTGCTTATTGATTAATAGACTTTAGATAGCCTCTTTGTCCAATGAAAAGTGAGAGGATTCCCTCTCTGACGACTTCGGTGAACAATGGGCAACTCCTACTACTGAAACCAGTGGATACTGAGCCTCTTCCTCTCATCTCTGGGCTGCTCTTGCTGACTCTTCCCTTGCAAACCAAAAAAGGAGAAGAGTACTTCTCAACCAACAGAGAAGAGGCGGATTCCGGTCCGGCATCCCGTATAGGGTGATTGAGGGATGGAGCTGTTCTCTTTTTGGAAGAGAGTAGGGCCCTGGCTGAGCCTGAGTTTGTTCGTTCTGTGTACGAGGTTGGCTTGCTGAGCATCTTCTTTTTGCATAGGAACCCGAATCGCTGTCCGCTTGCTATCTTTCGCCGATTTCCAAGGCGAGCGAAGTGAGTTTTGCTGTCAAATCCCTTCCTTCATCTTTTGTATGGGATCCTCGATCCCGCGTACCGACACCTAGGGAGATCCTCATGAAACTAAAATAGACCAGAAAGCAGGAAAATGGTATTCATTCCCAGTAAATCAATAACAGAACGAGCAGGAAAAAAGAATGTTGTCCTGTCCCCGCAGCTGAGAAAACCCTGCACTTCGAGGATCCCGATCCCTTTATCAGTTATAAGGAACGCTTATTGGCACTCAAACTGTCGTATCGGCAATAACAATAAAAGAAAAGGTGTTGATGGGAATATTAACATATTGGCTTTTGAGGGAACGATGAAATTGTACTGAATGTTATTCCTGCTAGTCCCGATCACTGGATTTGAACTTTCTTACTGGTGCTTAGAAGCCCCCTACTTGAAAGTCCAATTCATATTACCCTCCTGGCTTAGCTTATATATGAGAAAGACCTGCGGGTGAGCGACTACCTGTGATAGACGAATTCGCTCCTACTTCTTAACCGTTTTTAAAAAAATCGGAGTTTTGAACCCATGTCGAAACCAGGGAGGTTGAAGACAAACTTTATACATTCAAATCACAGCTAAAAAGAGAATTTGAAAAGATTGGGAAAGTCAAGGGATTGGAGAATCTATAGTTTATGCTTCCAATCTTACCCCTTACCCTTTAAGCCAATTATCCGATATTCAGCTTATTAGCCGACATCCGTATTAGAAGGAAGGAAAGGAAATCACCTCTACTGGACCTCCAAGCTTGGAAGTGAAAGGAAAGCGCGAAAGCTGGAAATTCTTCCCTTGTTCTGGGCCTTCCAACAACAATGCTTCTACTTCAACTAATGCTGCAATCAATGCAGTCTCTCCACAACCTACTGTGACATGGAATGCGGTCCAAAGAAGACCGCGGCAGTTCACATTTGACTGGCCAGGTTCGAAACTCTCTTCGCCCCATCATGCGAGATAGAAAGAGATTGGGAAAAATCCAATTCTCAGTCCGGGCCGGGAGCCCCTAAGCCTTTTTTATGCGTAAGCACACTTTATATACGTAATGGAAGGACAGGGTCCGGATTGGTAGCACCGGTCATCTGACATGCAGACATTGAAGTGCTTCCCTTCTTCAAGGCTGTCAGTAGCTCTACAAAAGTGGGAGGCAAAGCTGCCGAGGTCACCCAAGGCCGCACTAGAAGCTTTGACTATAGCATCTGAGTCTCTGGGTGCAGATGCGGGCTATGGCTATAGAGCCTCATATCTATTCAGCTTAGCAAAAATGGATTGACTAGCTGATTCGCATTGCAGGGATCGCAGTGTGTTCACTTGTTCAATAGTCACTCTTCTAGAGTGATCGTGAAAACGTGCCACGAAAAGAAAGACTCGTTTAAATGAGACCAAGAATAAAAGAATTGCTTGGATAGCTTTGCAAACCATCGTAGCGCATCACTAGCCGCGGCGAGAGAGAATAAAAAATGACTTAGGGCCTATCCTGCCAGCGACTTTTCATGTCATGTATCAGGGCTGTATACCGAAAGAAGTAAGGCAGGGGCACGATCTTACTTATTACTTATTAGAGAATAGTTTGAAAAATGGCCAAATTAGACGCCTTGTCTCCCGTAGTTGGGGGTATGGGTATAAAGTTAAGAGAGCCTATTTGCTACTGCGTAGGATTCCGAGCACACGTCGGATGTGGCATTTCGCTAAAGAATTTCTCTACTCTAGTATTTGATTCGGTATGGCCTCCATCTGCCAAAGAAGACCTTTCTTATATGTTGATGCCCACAATCAGATGCTAGAGGAACTGAGCTGCCAATAGCAGTAGAGACTGAGGGCTAAAGATGTCGTTGGAACGCAAAGCTCTTCACCTTTGTTTGAAAGGGTCATAGCCCATTTCCGTCATCAAGTGAATTACTTTATAATCATGCAGATGCAGCGGGGAGTGACGCTTCACGACCTTCATTCTTGTCGACAGTTGTGGGAACATCGAACTTTCGTAGAAGAGAACGTAAAGGAGGACGTCTAGTGGCAGGGCGCTTCCTCTTCCCTCTTCTCTCCGCCTTAGTGGCATCAACTGGTATGACCACGTTTGGAGAGATCTTGAGTCTTAGACATGGAACCTCTTCGAGAGAGACTCCTGATATTAAAGATGGGATCACTTTCTCGACGTTGCTCACTAGAGATGTAGCGATACGTCTTCTTCATGGTCGGCCTGCGACCTGCTTCAATATTCTTATTTAATTTATTCGAGAAAGCCATTTGATCTGGAGGTGTAGGAGCAGGCTTTCGCAACTCCTTAGTTGGCTCCAAATAGGACGAATAGTGTGCCGGTGCCATTGATTCTGTCTTTAATACCTAAGACTGAAACTTCATTTCAATCTTCCCAAATATTACCTGTTAGACTATGCATGAAAGTCCAGAGATTTTCGACTTCATCTTTCTTTATCGGCTTAACCATAAAGAGGAGGAAGTGAGAATTGAATATAATTTCTTATATCAACAGAATAAGGTAATCTAAGAACACTCATATAGCAAACCAAGGAAAACTGCAGAGACCCTTGCTTTTGGGGGAATAAGCTGTCATCCCTGGCTATTGAATACCCAGTCTTGTAATAACCCTTTCCGCTCTTACTGTTCCCACTGCATCGAGAATAACCGTTCTTTGCCTACCCGCTGTTAATGGCATTTCCGCTGCAGATCTGATCGTAGAGGCTCTTGGTCAACTATCCGTAAGCGCAGCTATTGAATCAGATTCTTGGTGGAAGGTTTAATGGAAATGACTCCGGTACTATTTCATCTGCTGGTATAGAATCGGTTGTTAGTGGGATTTGCGAGTGCTATCGTCGTATAATAAGAGAAAGGACTACTAGTCGTAGGGCACGAATGGCATAAGACTAGCTAAGGAGGGCCCGTGAGACTTCTCAAATGTGATCGTATCAGCTCTGACTGCTCTCGTAGCCAGTCTTACAGTAGAAGCTGTGATTGAATCACTAACCGGTGCTGGAGGAAGTATCATATTTGAAAACCAAACAAGGATCTTCCTCAATAGCAACTAAACTCAGACCTGGGGAAGTCAGGTCACTTCTTTCCCAAAGCACCACTCCTGCAAGAAGATATCCACGAATGCGATTGGTGGACAGAAGAAGCATGGCATGAGATGCCTCTTCCTTCGGCGAGTAGGGGGATTTCTTTCTCTCCTCTTTAGAAAGGTGGAAGGGGACCAATCAAGTCAATCAGCAAGGGCTGCGGTAGCAGAAGTAGCAAAGGTTGGATGTAATGAAAAGGGATTCGGCGAAGTCCATTTCCAGCATCTTACCCGCCAATCTCCATGGGCTTAGCCTCAGCGAGTTCGAGAGATGCAGGATTAAGCGTGAGTCTCGCCTCCTCGGGTGATAAAGGACAGTAATTTCTTATTGCAGTAGGAAGCCCTTTTTTACGCTTTCTTCTGCGCAGAGTTGAGAGGTTCCGGCACGGTGATCAACTATACGTATACGAGACCGCGGCATAAAGCGTTTTCTTTTTTAAATTACGAAGCCTAGCGTCTACTGTAACACTCTATCACCTTAATCCATTCTTTTGTTGAGGCTATCAAATAGCTAACGTTCCTCCGGCCCTCTATTTACATAGCTAAGAAAAGAAAAGGCTCTTGCTCGAATGCGTGACTGCGGCGCGCCTATTGCCCCGGCACGGCACTATAAAATACATGTTGGGTTGAGCAAGAATACTGCGACTAGGGAGACGAAGAATGGAATTGAAGGCTACGTCGCCTGTCTCTGGTTGTCGAGTTGGGAATGGGTACGGGTTCTCCATCCCAGTGAGAAATAAGCACTGCTTGCTACTTTTAATCATCCAAGGAACCCGGGAAGGAATGAAAGATCAAGGTCTCGGCGTAACCTGTCTTCTCTCTGACCTTTCCTTTCTAGAATTCAACTAAGAAAGAGCCGCCTTCTTTTTTCATCGATGTGGTGTTCTTGATGAATCGACATCCCAGCAGGCCCCCTACTCTTTCTAAAGAGAACTGCCATGGAAACGAAAGAGGGAAAGGAGAAGGACTAGACTAAGCCAGAGATGCGAAAAGAAGGTGTCCAGTTAAGGCCTAACTGATAGAGTGGGAGTAGGATCTGATCTATGTTGAACCAAGGCTAGGAAGTGTAGAAGCCTCTCGCCTTATGGGCCTATGGCTTGGGGAGAATGACCGGACCAGCAAGAGACAAAGGCAAGAAAGGATGCTTTGTGTACACTTAAAAAAAGCTATTTCGATTTTGATCCATCGGACCAATGATCGCGCTAATGGCGTGCCCAATCACAAGACTTCTGTTCATGTGACCAGTAGAAGACTCGGAGGCAGGGCTTACTCATCGGACGAGAATACATCACATCTCGCGCTATATTTAGCACACTCATCAAGTGCTAAATTGGATTACTACCTCAAAGACTAAAAACTTCACCCGACAACAAGAATTGGAATATCGAAATTGCACGGATCGAGCAAGTTCCTGTTCGGGGAAGGATCTTTATAGGTAGCCAGACCTAGACAGGGCTCAAGTGATTTAGGGCTTTTACTAAAAACAAAAAAAGGTTCAATTCGCCGTCGGACAACCTCTGCTCTGGGTTACCATGCCTCTTGGCCCGTCTTTGCTCTCACACATCATTTTCGGATTGGGTGGTTTGCAGAGCACCCTGGAGTTCGCTTCACAAGATATGCAGTACTCGGTGATGATGTTCTCATCGCTGATACGTGTGTATCCCAAGTGTACGAGCAGGTACTCCTAAAGTTAGGAGTCACGATCTCAGCAAAAAAGTCGCTTCATTCCGGCTCGCCCGGGATTTTGCTTTGTCGGTGAGCGTACCTTTGTTCGCTTCTTCTCCACCAAGCACGGAAGTTTAAGGATAACTGTAGGTCGGTGGATACCTAAGGAAACTCCGATTCGATCCGCCCCCCGGCTGGGAGGCATTTACCTCATCCCGATCACAAGGAGAGGTTCACCATGATGGGGGGGTCCTCTCTTTTTTCCCTTCCGGAAAGAATGCATAGGGGACCATCCTTTTGTTGCGGCATGCTCTTCAGATTTACGGATTCGTAGGGGGCCTCAGGCCCTACTTAGTTGACTGACAATGACAAAGGCTTTCGAAACTAAGTAGGGCCTTTTGAATTGAATCTTAAGTAGTCTATCAGTGGGGCGAAGCTCAAATGACCCTTTTCAGTAGGGGAGCGAAAGGTTAGACCTTCTAAAGGCAGCGAACAGCGGTTCTTCTATGTAGGTATGGCCCCTTGACTCTCCTAACGTCGAGCTAAGTGACTTCGTAACCTTTGCGTAGCGTAGTAGAATGAAGGCTACGCACCGACGCTCTCTTATCTATTAGCCTAAGCTCGCTAACTTGCTCGCCTATTATACTACACCCTACTATACAATACATTAGTAGGGTAGGCTAAGCTAACGCTTACTTCTACTAATGTATTGTATAGTATAGCCTTTTCCTTTTTGAAAAAGCCTTTTTTTCATTATCTTTCATAAGTCAAGTAGGCGAACCTAAAGATCCTTAGTAGCGTTGACAAAGAAGAACAGCCGGGACAGCGAATCTTTTTTTATATCCTTATATTATATATATAATTGTTCTTATATATATGCCAGCTTGACAATTACATTGCCTCTTGATTTGATCTGAGGTGCGAAGATAAACATCTCTTTTTTATGACTTCCACTTATCGATCCCGGCCCGGAAAAGTGACCGACCAGGGCCCTATTGATGAATGGAAAGGGTTTATGAGCCCTAGCCCTTGTAAGCCCACACCTGTGTAGAGTAGATCGTTCAACACCTGCGGCACAAACCCATTTTTACCTATTGGTCCTAGTATCATAGGCGACCGAACGGCCGCCCCCTAATTACTAGACCGACCTGCTATAATAATTCCATAAACACCTAGCGAAGATATGGCAAACAAATAAAGTAGCCCTATGTTCGGATCTGACAATACCATACCATAATCAAAAGGTACAACGGCCCGAGCGACCAGACTTAACATAAATGTAGCCACTGGAGCTATTCTAAAAAGGGATAAATTAGCACTACTTGGTGAAATAGGTTCTTTTAGAATCAATTTCAAACCATCTGCTAGAGGTTGTAACAATCCGAACGATCCCACTACATCAGGACCCTTTCGACGTTGCACAAAAGCCATTACTTTACGTTCAGCTAGCACTAAAAAGGCTACTCCTAGTAGAAGTGGTATAATTATTCCAAGTATTTCAGCTGGAACAGCTATGTACGTTTTCGATTTTCTATTCACTCATGATCTGGCCTGGTCGACCCAATCATGATATTGAAGGATGGGACCTTTTCTCAAAAACCCCGGATCCCGGGAAGAGTTGAAGATGGTGCAACATAGAATCTTGTTACGTTACTTCGAATGGAATCTTAGCCCGCCTCACTTGCTTTCTTTACTACATAAAGACATAAGCGAAGTCCAGGGATTTAATTTCCTTCTAACTAGTGGCTGAGAGTATACCTTCATTCAACAGATTTGTGATTGAGTCAATAACATGCTCTGGGTCTGGAATCTTTGCTCTTCTCTTTTGCATTTCCGCTGCCTGCGTTCTTTCTTCGTGTCCGTTCATATCGCAAAGCGGGGCGACGCCAGCTATAATGGTTGGTTGAAAAGAGCGGGGCCAACCAAGACCCCCTAAGAAAGCTTTGTTCGATAAAGCAAACGATTCGTTCCGACAACTTCGGACCAGATTAACCCTTTGAATTAGCCGATCTTACAAAATCGATCGGGCGGGCTGGTTGGGAAGGGTTTATTAGCGGAGAAAAGAATCGCTGAGAGATATATTCTACTATTTAGTCAGAACGAATGAGTGGCTGTGCAGCATGCTCCGGAGGAGATTGACCCTTCCCCGAGTCAGTCCAGTCAGTAAAGGGGAAGGCCTGCTGTCTAGACTGCATTTCGGGAGTTTGAACACCATCCCATTTCAACCAAAAATACAACCCTGTCAAAGGTATCTAACCTTCCTTCCTTATGAGTGGAAATCGAATCCCGTTTTGTCTTTTTTTGCATAAAAACTAGCCAGCCCAAATCTTATATATATATATTACGTTAACGTTACGAAATTTGTTACATATCTCGTTGGGGAGTCGACCCCACACAACAACGACCATTCACTTGAACTCTAACTGTCGCCCGCTAAACCACTTAGCTACCGTGGTAGGGCTGTGTCAGGTTGACGGCTAGTGAGAACTTCTTTTCTTCTCTGCAGGCCCGGGGGAGGGAGTTATACTTGAAGTTTGCTGATCTACCGGTAAGGAAGCGCTGGGCTTTCTCAGTTCTGTCCCCTCTCTTTGCTCTCGTTCACCAGTGTGGAGGGCGGCGGATCCGCTTTCTCCTCTAAAGTTAGGCCTCTTTGACGGGGCGAAAAGACCACTGGTCTTAGATTGAAAGCCGAAGTCAAGTATTCTCGGTGACGATATTGTCATTGCAGATAGTAGGATGGCTGAGGGATAGCGGGGCTTTCCTTTGAACCCGAAAAGCCTTTGTGATAGTGGGTGCTTTGACTTTGCCAAGCCACGGGCGGATAGCGCCTCTCTCCTCGAATGTGTGCGGACCTTGTCTCCTCGCTGGCCGTCATCCCGGTCCTTCGTCGGGTTCCGGTAGAGCCTCAGTTGAACCTGGCCTTACGACTCTTTTGGGCTGGCTATCGGGTGCTAGGCTCATGGCGCACCCGGACGTCATTGCTTTCATCTGTGGTTGATATAGCATGAAGCTTTCAAGAAAGCTTCCCTCCTCTTACCTTTTTGGATCAATTGAACAACTTGACAGATTAAAAATCAATTCCGAACCGCTATAGAAGCGAACGACTTGATCGCGAACTATACTCTTTGTTTTTTCGACTGACCGACTCGAATCGATTGGGCTTCGTTCCGGGTAGTGTTTAGTCATAAGCCTTTCTCTTTGGGTTTTCACTTGTCTGCTTTCGTTCCACTCCTTTACAGTGCTTTAATTAAGTAAGAGTTCAAAGAATAACCTATAAGAATAAATTTTTTTAATACCCGAAGTCTCTCGGAACTGACCTCAGCGACTTGAACTTCCTATCGGCTTCGAGCCGAAAGACAGTGAAATGGAACCCGGAATAGATCTAGCTTTACGAAATCTTTTTAAGACAGTCAGTCATCGATTGACTGCTATTCCCACTTCTGAGGAGTGAAAGGCTGGAAAGCAGTTCTTTTCCTAGGTTGACTCATGAGTTGGTGTGCAAGACCAATTGCTAGGCTCTCCTCTTGCTTAGATGTTCTAACAGCGGGATTTTAGCTTTGCAGGATTTTATTCCAATTTGAGTAGAAAATAAAAATTCTCTTTATTCCTCCGTTCATACGTATTTCATACATTCCATATTCATATATGGAGTTAGATAAAATTTTATGTGATTCTGTAAACAGAATATCAATTCCATCAGTGCTGGATCGATCCATATAATTTATTGAAAAACGATCCAATAATGGGATTTCTTTTTCAATAAATGGGAAATTAAAAATGCTTGGGGATGGAAATGGGGGAATGTCTACAATACCTGGATTTAATCAGATACAATTTGAAGGATTTTGTAGGTTCATTGATCAGGGCTTAGCAGAAGAACTTTATAAGTTTCCAAAAATACCCTATACACCCCTCTGCCCCTTTAGGGTATATATAGCCAAGGCCAAGTATCCTATACAAACCCCAGCCACTTTAGGGTATATATAGCCAAGGCCAAGCTGCTATAGTATACAAATACACTCTTATATTATCTTTTACCCTATACAACCTTCTGCACCTTTAGGGTATATATAAAATACACTCTTATATTATCTTTTACCCTATGAAACCTTCGCACCTTTAGGGTATATATAAAATACACTCTTATATTATCTTTTACCCTATACAACCTTCTGCACCTTTAGGGTATATATAAAATACACTCTTATATTATCTTTTACCCTATACAACCTTCTGCACCTTTAGGGTATATACACTCTTATATTCTCAAATACCCTATACTAGCCCCGATAAATCCCAAGATATCATCGCCGGTCTTTCTCTACAATGAGAATTGAACAGGATTCTTCTCATTACTGTTAGAGAGAGTGGATCTTTATATTTAAATAAAATGAAAAAAAGATCCAGGGTAAGGCTAAGGGGCAGAGATTTCATCTTATCTAAGATGTCACCCCAGCTCGTCATGATCTAAGATGTCACCCCAGCTCGTCAATACCCTTGCACTAGGAATAAACGCGGCCCCCGACAAAAATCCCATCTCGCCGGTATCTCTCTACAATGAGAGAGTGTTAAGTGTTTATTTAATAAATAAACCAGGGTAAGGCTAACGGGGGAAAGTCTGAAAGATGACTCTGAGGTTACCTCAGGCCGCAAGAGGCATCAAGCACTAGCCTTGGACGACGGATACTACTCCGCACCTAAAAGTGCTAACTTTAAAAAACAAAAAATTATGATTATTTTCATTTTATATAGTACAGGGAGTACTTACAAATCAGGTATCAAAAGATATTCTAATGTTTCAGGTCTTTCCATTGACGGATGTGGCAACGGTAACGGATTTGGCAACGGTAACGGATTTGGCAACGGCAACGGCTCATCTCAGTCTAGTGATGAGATTTCGTTGAATACTCTTACTAACTATATCCATCTATCATACTCTGAATTATCTGAGAATTTTCCTAATTTGACAAAAGAGAAAGTGAATGAAATAACAATGTCCATAATGGATGGTACTTACACCCAGTCTCCCCTAAGAATAAGGCCATTTATTGATTCTAAAAATGAATTGGGTATCAAGCTTTATGTTATGGATAGATTCAATAATAAAAAACCATTTGAAGTTTATTCACAGGAAGAAGACAACCTTGTTCAACTTTCGCTGGCATTTATGTTAAATAAACATATATATATGAAGGGAGTTTTCATGGCAAATTGCGTGGGGTATCATAATTTGTTACCTACTTATTATGATTTAGTATGTTCTAGAAAGAATGTCTTTAAGGTATATCGATTAGACCTAACAAATTCCCTTTCGAGTATAAATCGAGAGAGTTTGTTATCTAACCTTGAATCTATTGTGAATGATGTGGAAATCTTAAGATATGTAAGAGAATACATTAATTTACCTTTTGTTACTGAGTATGGAATACCCCTATCCCTCCATCCAACTACAGCTATACCACCCTCAGGATTTCTGAGTTGTGTATTACTGAATTATGCTTTAATGGACTTCGATAAGGCTTTTCTCGAATTCTTAAGGAATCTGCTTGGTTCTAAGGTGAGGCTCGAGAGACCTGGATTCGGACAGATTGATAGAGGAAATGCCAAAGCAATGAACTTGGATTTCGTACTTGGTACTTGACAGGAAGGCTTTTTTCTTCTCCTTCGATTCCATTCCTTGAAAGTTAAAAAGTTCGATCTGCCTATGAACTCAGCTAGGGATCCGTCTAGATTCGCTCTCAAGACAGCTCTTCCCGGAAATAAGGAATGCGATGATTCTTTGCCCTCGTAGAATAAAGGGTAATCGGAAAAGAATATGGAATGGTCTCTCACTGCTTTCTGCCACTTCCGAAGGCATTGTTCCTAGGGCTGAAGTGAAGGCTCAGTCTTGCTCGACGGAGTTCAGATTCCACCCATTCGATTCGGGCTTGAAAATAGGCTCTTTTTGATTGAGACCAAATCTTCTTTCAAAAGAGTTCCCACATTACTACTAACAAGAGACTAGCAGCGGCAAGAGAGAATTCTCTTCCCTTCTTTCTTCACTCATAGTTCTAGCTTTCTTCCTAAGATAAGTCAGATCGGTGCCTTTTCTCTTGCGACCTTCCATTCCAAGCAGCAGGGTTGAAGGAAGAAGACAGCAGGTGTGTGGTATAGCTCTTATCTGTTCGCTCCTGTCGACTCTGAACTCATGGTGGAGGATGGGCTACTAACTAGATTAGACTAGAAGGGAGGAGAGAACATCGGGAAATCTCTGTAGAGAAGCAAAGTCCTAATCAAAGCAACAAGGTAAATTCTATCTTTTAGGAAGGCTCCCACGTGCCATTGATTTAGAGGAATTAGCTGTTGCCGTTGGCGCTCTTCTCTTTTCTGAAGCAAGGAAGGAAGCCTTGCCTTTCATTCATAAGTCACACAAGAATTGCTCAAGGTTGGAGGCAAGGCTACTAGAGAAGGGACCAGCCAAGGGCGGGCTGGAAGGCGACAATAGCAATAGAGAACGTTGACAGAGAGGAATGGCTTTCGGAATCCAGCAGAAAATCATAAGAATAACAGAAGTTATTGAGGGGAGATCCGTTAACTCTTTCTCGATGCAATAATAGTCAGTGTTAGTCTAGCGACTTCTTGATAGCATTGGTCTCGGAAAGCCCTCCCTCGGTACCGGGCTAAGGAGCCAAGGATAGAAGCGATTCAACCAGAGTGAAATTCCTTACTTATCCCAGCTCTCAAGGAAGATTGTCAGTAGGTACCTATTATACAAGAAATTCTCTCTACCTATTCGACTATCAAGCTCTTGACACCCTGTCTAGCCTAGCGCCCTCTTCCTACTAGGCTTTGGATTTGACCTTCAAACTCGCATTCGCATGTTGGTTGTTCTTCACTAAACATCGAGGTTTCCGGTGAAAGTGAAGGTTCGGACTCTAGTCTCGGCCTACGTCTCTTCAGGTCCGGTTTTCATGAAAGGGCTTCCTTGAAAGTACTTTTAGGATACCGCTTGAATAACGAGAATCGGATTGTCTTTTTGTAGCTTCACTTTCGATAGGCCTACATCTCGCCCTCCACTACCGGAAGAAGAATTTTTCTGCGACTCCCGGAACTTAGACGTACCGCTCACCGCAAAGAAGACTTTCTTTACTACCTATTTCTCCATAAAGACTTGAGCGCATCGCTTTCCAACTGCGCCTACTTATTGCTTGAAAGTCACCCTCGACTTCCAGCTGTCCCGCTAACCGAAACTGACTTTCACTAGCGCTTGATGGTGCGAACTGAACAAAAACGATCTATACGGTCTGCGGCACCTGCCGTGGGCTCTAGTTATTACTGACCGCTAACCAAACGGAAAGAAGGAAGACTTTTTGCCAACCGAGTAGAACGAACTGCTTACCGCAGTTTGACTTAGATAGGGCTTTCGGAGAGCGCCGGAACTTGACTATCGAAGGAAGAGTTTGATTCTCTAAAGAAGCAGGTTTTGGTATTGGATTCCTCCTTCCTGACTTCAGATTCAAATCGTCGAATTGATCCGCTTACGAATTTCCTTTAGAGTACTCTCCCTCGGACACCACATCTTGATGTATCACTTGACGAATAGGCTCTCCGTTCCTTTCTTTCTCGGACAGACAGACTAGTCGTACGAGCGGTTTTATTGGTTCTACTTCGTACCTCACTAAGGCTCTAAGGAGCTAACGATCTAAAAGTATATTCTACTAAAAGTACTAGGATTCCCTTCGAATATCTAATCTATTATTTTTTGCCTTCCCTTCGAGGGATTTCTAGTACTCTATTCTCTTTATTCAAACTGACCTTTTGGTGGATTGATTTCCTTTTGATTACTAAATGCTTGTCCATTTCCTTATAGGATGCATATGCGCTCCTTGTCTGCTATAAGTCTTCCCTCGTCTTTCTGGCTCTGCTTCCACGCTAAGCAAGAAGTAAGCCAGACAGTTTCTTGGAAAGAGTCTTTTCGGGGTCCTTTTTTCCCTAGGGGCGGTACTGGGAAAGTCCTTTCTGTCTATATGTTCTATCCCCCTTCCTTGCATGCACAGAGAGAGGAAGAGGCTAATTAGGACTGGACCGAGATAGGATTGGTAACGTACTGCCGCCTTGCCCGCACCTTCCTCTAGAGCAGGGGATGATTCTTTTCCTTCAACAAAGATAGAAAAGACCAAGACGGTAGAATTCCTACTAGGAAAGCAGGTCACAAGCAAGGAAAGAAAGGACTTTGACCATTCCCTATCTCCTTGCCTAAAGGATCTTCTCTTCGGCTAACTCTATTCGAGTGCACGATAGCTTTTCTCTTCATAAATATCATAAGAGAAGTAGGTCGGCTCTCTCTCTTAGTTGTTTAGCTAGTGCCCTTCTTCTTCTTATTAGCAAGGTAACCGAAAGCGGAACGAAAACAAAGAAAGGCCTAAGATTCTAAGTGAAACATCGTCTGCCCCGGATCTTGTAGAGGGTCTCAGAGAAATGGGGATGATTGTTCAGCAAGTTTCAAATATCTCGGTGTACACCGACGGGAAGTGCAGATGGCGCATAGCTCGGAGTGAGAGCTATGATCGAGGCGGAACTTGCTGAAGCGCTTGCCGAGGAGAAAGGGATAGCGATCGACGCACTCCCTGAGTTGAAGGGCGCGAGTGGCTGCAGCATTCCTTCTAGGAGGTATCTTTCTCTCTAGCTTTCTTACTAGTGCGCGGCTAATGCTAGCTTCGACGTCTTGTCGTAAAGATAAGAACTAACAAAGCGAGAATCCGGAGCGGAAGGGAAGAAGCCGACCCAGAAATCGGGTGCGGAGTTGAAACAATTACTTTAGCGAGAGCTGCTTGTAGGTATTGGAAATGGAAAGGTTTTCGAGTTCTTTGATCCTATCCCAATCCGCTCACTTCACTAAGGCTTCTCCTGCGCTTGGCTGAAAAAGGAGATCCCGGACTTTCTAATCAATTCAAAGAGATGGCGCTTCCACTAGCTTTCTTCATAGATGAGATTCGGGCTTCCACCGATGATTTTCACGTCTTCGAACTGCTATCTTCAGAATGTGGAAGAAAATAGACTCAAGAAAGAGACTCACTAAGAAGAATGGTTCTTCCCCATCCCCTTCTTAGCCCTCCTTTTGCTTCCCTTACTTTCCATGTGGGGCTAGGTACGCGAAGGCTTATCCTCTTCTCTTGTAGTGAATTAGCGCTGGGACTGACCTTTTGTACGGAGCTGGAGAGAAAACTCATTGCCGAAGACCTGACTCAGGCATTTAGCTACTCGAACGAATGCCCTCATCGAATGTTCGAACTCCGACATAGAGGCATCCAGCAAAATTCCAAGGGATATAAGTCTCTAAAGTTGCGTAAGAGTCTCATTTTGGCTAGCGCCCTTTCTCCCTATTAGTATGCCTGATTTCTCCTTCCATTGGTAAGCATTACTCCTAATCAGGTATAGGTCTTTCGGAACGAGCTTTAGCAGTCCCGCCTTCATAACTAAGGTGACTCCTTGGCCTGCAAGCTGGAGCACTTAATTAATTGGAAGGTGTGGAAAGAGTCCTTCTTTTTTGCTATGGTAAGCGCGACTCCTTAGCGCCTTCACTCATGAATTTCCCTTTCAGGGAGAAAAGAAGAGATCAACTTAAGTAACTATTTCGGTGGGGCCTGCCTGGAGGCAGTAAGGTTTGTTTAGTTTGAGTTTAGGCTGCTAAAGACTGACTTGCCCCAACAGCCGTAGCTAAAGGCTTAACCCATTGTTGAGTACCCAGATTCTTCAACCCCGACCTCAAGAGAATCCGGGGAAAGCTCCATATCAAAAGAAGCTTGACCGGTAGCGGTAGGGAGAGAGAAGTTTGGGGCTAAGGCCTGTAGCTATCGGAGTTTCCTGATTCAAGTCTTGGAGGAAGGGCTGCTGCGCTCATCAATGTTTGATCTTTCGCTTTTATTTTATTTTAGAACACAATCTTCGTCCTTTTGCTTTTGGGATTCAACTTTATGCTCTTAATGGTGAATGTGAATCGATCATTCAATATCTTTTTCCTTATTTTTTTCGGAATCTACAAAAAGTAATGAAACCTGCGATGGCTACTGTTACTAAATAACCTCTTTTTCTTATCTTAATAATAAAGCCTTTGACCTTTTTATTCGTTCGCTTGTTCAGTTCCATCCAAGCTCGGTTTTGTCTGAATTTTCGTGGAAGAAGAAGAAGCGGTTCACCGGCCACTACATCTGTAGATCCCACCAAATCCTTAAACCTGGTGGCTGCTCGCTCTTTGATCAGTGATTCACCGGCCTCGATGAAGAATCTCTCCAAAATCAGCTTTTTGATCAGTGATTCACCGGCCAGGAATCCCACTTTATTCTCAAACCTGGTGGCTCGGTTGATTGGCACTCCTGTAAGCTCATCTTGCATACAAATTCTGGGGGTCCCAAGTCCTGCATTTACCAAGAACATTTCTTCCCTTAAGCGTAAAACTTCAGATTGTAAGGCGTTTCCACTACATAAAAAAAAACTTGAATTAGATCTTCGAAATGATCGACTCAAATAGATGCTCATCATAAGCTTTTTTTCCTCCTCTTCCTGATCAAAAGTTGAATCCAGCATAACATTCCTGCCGTAACATAAACCGTCTCTTTTCCCTTACCCGCAGCTAACCGCTAAACAGTCTACATCAGTAGCCTTACAGCTATTGCTCTGCCCTAACTAGGGTCTCGCGAGCCCATTCTTTCAGCTTTCTTTCATTCAAAAAGTTCAATAAGAGATAGATCTTGTCTCGGTTCAATTTCTTACTCTTTTCTTTTGTTCTGTCTTTATCGATTTTCTTTGATCGATGCGATGAAGGACAGGCTTCCCCATCTATCTCTAAAGCACTGAACGGAACTTGATTCAGCTGGTTGTCTGTCTGCTTCAGGAAGAGTGAGTTTACAACTAACGTTCAGGGGTGCGACTAAGCAAGTAGTTCTAAACCCTTTCTTCTCTTATTTCCGGCTTGGGTAGATATAGATAAGCCGGGCATCTCAAAGGAAGACGGGTTTACCACAACCCGAGTCTTTCCTACCCTTAAGCGCTTCTAGCACCGCTAGCTCTTTTGGTTTGCTTGAAGAAAGAAGCCTCTACAGCTAGAGAGGAAATAGAAAAAGAGGCTCTTATAGACTTGAGGAACCCATCTTTCAATTGACATAACATAGTCCGGCTCTCTCAAAGGCTTGCTAAGAGCTTTCCGTACGTCTTACAGCTATCCTGGAACTAGCGAGGGAACGCCTAAAATCTCATCCACTACTAGCGCGTATTCTAATATCGGAGCGATGTGGCATGCAGACCCCGAACTTTAACCCGATACGATCTCTTTCACGAAAGCCAAGTAGCTGATTGAACATTAGTAGGAAAGAAAGCGGTCCAGGTTTCATGTAAAGGAAGAGTCCCGATCTGGAATTCTTTTCCAGTGCAATTAGGATCGTACCTCGAATTCAATTTCTTTCTCTTTTTTTCGTCGCCGAGGCCTCGTCACGAGTTGATCGATTTTATACGCATTTTCCCTATGTTTCCACTTTTCTCTAAGTTCCTGTAATCCTATCATCGGGAAAGAACGAAAATCACACTCCATGGAATGGGAGTAGAACTCCGGTTTGGGTTCAAATAAGGCCACGTTCACGACCGGAAGCACTAGAGAGAGAAGAGATTGAAGTTACGGTTCATAGCTAAACCTCGAAGTGAAGTAAGCTGGAGCTTCGAGGTCGGTTTCTAGGTCAAAAGCCCATCTGCGATTCCCTCACTCGCTAGCAACCAAAACAAATGGGATTTAATTCTTCGATTCTCTTCCGGTTAGCAACTAACTAGCTCTCGTACTCGGCCATGCCTAAAGCCTATTCTTTCCGGCTTCGGAAGATGGAGTCACTTCCCTCTTCGGTTTCTTTGCCTACCTTCCCTTTTTTCACTCTATTGCACTTCGATTCTTTGATTCTGTTAGCGAGGGCTACCTCCCCTCTCTTTTATGCACTTGCCTCGAAGGCTTACGGGTCCGTGGGAAAGCAACCGTTGGTTATCGGTTAATAGAGCCAGCTCCACGTCCGAGCCTTAGAATAGAACACATTTTGAATTAGAGCGGGCTAGCCTTAGCTTGCTAAAGAGACTCCTGCTTCAATGCCACTAGGCATAATTACCACTATTTTCACTACTTGGACAATAGGAGAGATTAAACTTGGATGGCGAGGGTAAGGACGACGAGAAAGCAACTAGCTCTTAGACGAAGCACTTACACTAGAAATACCTTTCTCATTTGATTGCTCACTTCCTCAAGATCCTCGATAAAACGGCTCCCCACTGCACGCAAGACGAAGGGCGATAAAGAAAGATATCTATTAGGCTGGAGCCTTACGAGAACCTGTAGATGGCTAAAGCTCGCATGCCCCATCCGAAGGATTTAACAATGTGCTGGTAGAAGCCGCTACCCCCTCCTTTGAACTTTAAGAAGATTGCTTTGTCTCGATAGATGTGTCGAGTTTGAGCTTTTGAGTTGCATCGGATTCATTCGGATTCCCGTCTCCTAGGCTCGGTTGAGAGATGCGGCGAGCCAACCCACTTTCCTCTAAAGAAGGATCGGTCAAGCATTTACTCACCTCTCCTTGCATTGCGGTCGAGTAGCTTTCGCACCTATCCTAATCGTTAAGCATCGGAACAATGCCACTTACTCGAGAGGATTCCCGGGTTCGCTTGATTCTACGGTTCTCTTATTATAATTAAGAACCCCAAACTTGAGTGAAGTTCCTATTCTTGAATGTCAAGCCATCTTGAGTAGATGTCGGCATTTCCGTTGTTAAAGAGACATCTCGATAAGAGAGAGACGGCTTTCCTTTAGGGGCGTCATCCAACTCGATAAAAATCTCATAAGAGAAGAAAGAAAAGAGCTTCGGGTCCAGAAGTCGTACGTCTGGTTCACTAGGTTCTACCACTGCAGGGCTCAATCATGCTCAAAAGACGAGTTTGATCCTGGCTCAGAAGGAAGGCTAGCTATATGCTTAACACATGCAAGTCGAACGTTGTTTTCGGGGAGCTGGGCAGAAGGAAAAAGAGGCTCCTAGCTAAAGGTAGCTTGTCTCGCCCAGGAGGTGGGAATAGTTGAGAACAAAGTGGCGAACGGGTGCGTAAGGCGTGGGAATCTGCCGAACAGTTCAGGCCAAATCTTGAAGAAAGCTAAAAAGCGCTGTTTGATGAGCCTGCGTAGTATTAGGTAGTTGGTCAGGTAAAGGCTGACCAAGCCAATGATGCTTAGCTGGTCTTTTCGGATGATCGGCCACACTGGGACCGAGACACGGCCCGGACTCCCACGGGGGCAGCGATGGGGAATCTTGGACAATGGGCGAAAGCTCGATCCGGCAATATCGCGTGAGTGAAGAAGGGCGATGCCGCTTGTAAAGCTCTTTCGTCGAGTGCGTGATCATGACGGGACTCGAGGAAGAAGCCTCGGCTAACTCCGTGCCGACGGCCCGTGGTAAGACGGGGGGCGAGTCTTCTTCGGAATGGCCGGGCGTAAAGGGCACGTAGGTGGTGAATCGGGTTGAAAGTCAAAGTCGCCGGAGCCGGCGGAATGCTCTCGAAACCAATTCACTTGAGTGAGACGAGAGGAGAGTGGAATTTCGTGTGTAGGGGTTAAATCCGAAGATCTACGAAGGAACGCCAAAAGCGAAGGCGGCTCTGCGGGTCCCTGCCGACGCTCGGGGTGCGAAAGCATGGGGAGCGAACGGGATTAGATACCACTGGTAGTCCATGCGTAAACGATGAGTGTTCGCCCTTGGTCTACGCGGATCGAGGGCCCGGCTAACGCGTGAAACACTTCGCACGGGGAGTACGGTCGCAAGATCGAAACTTAAAGGAATTGACGGGGGCCGCACGAAGCGGTGGAGCATGTGGTTTAATTCGATACAACGCGCAAAACCTTACCGGCCACTTGACATATGAACAACGAAAACCTATCCTTAACGGGATGGTGCGGCTTTCATACAGAGTCTTTGCATAGGCTGTCGTCGGTCCGAAGAATCTCAATAGTAGTTCCATGAACTATCCGTTGCGGGATTGGATTCTTTTTATAGTGGAAATGCCATAAAGCGCCAACCAAGATCCATAATACGAAAACCAAAATCAGAATGAGGAAGAAAAAGAGATCGTGATGTAAGTCCATTATTCCTTGCATCATAGGGCTCGCTGCATCTTGAAATCCTAATTGCCATGGTTCCGCTGCATCACAAGGACTAATTATGAGGAATAAATATTGAGTCATTTGAAAAGCACCTTCATTAGAGAAAACTTTTCGAGAAATCCTTCATCAGTGGCCTATCCTCTTGACCTTTTTCGCCTGCTTTCTTTGAGGAGTTGTACACCAGGGATGATATGGAATCTTCAATTTCTTGTTACATAGAGCAAAGGTCTACTCTATCTTCAAACTCGCCTTTGAAGGCAGGGCGGGCAGTTCATGTCCTAGGGCGGGAAAAGGAAGGGTAAAGAGCTTATCTTACTTAACGGATAAGGGATCGGAGAAGCAGCTCGAGAGAAAGGAAAACCGAGATCCGAGCTTGTAAGATTCTCAAGGGAAGGGATCAAAGGAAAGCTGAGAGTTGGAAGTGCGCTTCAAGTAGTCCGCTGTCTGAAGACATGACAGATCAATGGAAGGCAAGCTGATATACGGAAGATAGCTGATGTCCGCCCAGTTGACTCAGGTGATTGAGAGTAGTCAGATAAGAAGGGTGGAGAGCTAGGAAGGTAGTCAAAGGAAGGGTCAGTTCATGCATCAATCAAGTAGTCCGCCCTCCAAGCTAGTCCGATAGGCATGAGATATCTATCGTAGTCAGCTCTCAATGTTCAACCTTTCGCGGTCAAAAGCAAGGGCATCGAGCAACTCCGTCAGGAAAAGGCAATCGATCAATAGTAGTCTTTCGGCTTTGACCATGATCAGGCAAGGAAGTACGCCTAGATCAAGATAGGAATATAGCTTCAAGTAGTCCGAGAAAGGGAAGTTAAATCATTCAAGAAAAGGCTTCGTCAATCAGCACGACCAAAAATCTCATTTGTTGAAATTCAGAATGTTTCGAATCACTCTAAGTGCCTAAGGATTCAGACATTACCTTACTAGACCTTTCTAACTAGCGATACAAGCCAGGGCAGCCAAAACAAAGACAAATATCGGTCACAACGAGCTAAGATCTCATCCCTTGGGCGCCATTCTTCACCCTCTCTCTAAGCACTAAGGGATGAAACTCGTAACCACCTGTCTCTGGCTACCAATGCAACCCGTGACCTCAAGACAAGAGCCAACTACATCCCGCCTCTCCTTGATCTAACGAACGGGCTAATCGCACTCCAACTCCCGTAACTACATTCCCCAGCCTCTCCTCGAGGGTACCCAGGGATCACAGTCGAGATCTAAGGTAGGTCTTTCGCGGAAAACCTTGGGACAGGTACCCAATTCCACTCCTAAAAGGCAATCTATTCTTGTATACCATTATTCCAGGAACACAACAGAAAGACAACCTGAAAGAAAGACGGATTTCATTTCAAAACACGATCTAAATAAGCAAGAAATGGAAGGAAAGAAGTCTAAGAGAGGCCCTTAACGAACCCTTCATTAGAAAGAAAAGGAAAGCCAAATGCCCTTTCTATGAAGAAAGGGTACCCTACCAAATCAATTGTTTGAAAGATCTAGAGCTATTGATCAGGAAGATTGACCTCTTTTTGAGAAGAAAGTTTAGGGTTAGCCTCGCCCACTTTAAAGACTAGGTACCCGTAGACTAGTGTAGCCTACTCATTGGCAGAGAAAGCCTTCCCTATGCAATGGTGCTTTCTAGTTCGTATCTGCACCTACATTTACAGTTGTTTTCGAATTTCCCCTATTCTTGAAAATGGGAATCAATAACCATATCATACCGAGCCTGCTAAGCGCGGGAAAAGGGCGAAAGAAAACTCAGGAATGAACCAAGAAGGGCATATCTTCCTGAAAAAAAATGCTACTCTGAATGTTGATCTTCTGACCACGAAACTGAGCAAGAAGTCCATCCTATAGTGGGCGTTTTCTTTTTTTTTAGATCAAAAAGTCCTGTTTTTATGGGCAGAGGTATAGCTCAAAAGTAGAAGTCTTTCGCTGTGACTAAGGATAGACAGGACTCTCGGTTCGTCTGAGCCTGAGTCGAAGACTTCGGATCCTGCATCTGCTTCAGTTAATTAGGTTCAAATGTGCCTTAAATGGTGTTTTGATCCTAATCCTAGCTAGTCCTCATCCGAAGTTGAGGCATTCAACAACTTTCTGAGACACCATTCTTTCCATAGGCAAGGGCCAGCCCGAAGATCAACGGGATCTTTCTACAAGCTCAGTTCCTACCCAACTTTTACGAGGGAACCGACTACGGGGGGTGTGTTGATAAACTCGTCTCCGCTCATTTTACCTGGAAATGGAAATCAATTTGTGTACCTTACCCACATCATCAGGTATATTATATCAAAGCTTCTTTTTTCTGGCTTGCTCTTCCAAATTCAATTTTGGCCTGCGGTAATGTAATCAGGATTTCAGCTCAAAAATTCTTTTTTTCTATGAGATGGAAAGTGTTGTTTTAAATTCTGCCTTATTCCATGAGATCTAGAAGCACTTCTGCAATCTTCTCTCTCTCCATTTTCCTTAGCGCGCTTTTTTTTACTTCTTTAAAAAGGGAATGAAAGCCGTCCTTAGAAGTTCTCGCTCGATCGAAAGGATATAACACATATGAAACCTTAGTTTCTTCGCTGACTTTCTGAGGTATAACCTTCGCCACGACATTAGTGGCTTAGCTCTTCGCGCTTCCCGAAAGCTTTTTTTATAGAGAGAGTAAGGGGGTCTCCATTTTAATGAGAAAAGTTCCTCCCACTCTAGCTTTGCTTGCGTTCTTCACCGGCGCTCGCCGGATGCATCACTCATCCCGCTCCTAAGGCTAAGGTAAGGAGTCTTCTGTGTGTTATAATCTTTACGGGGATGAATCGCATATGTTGGTTGAGAATTTCTCGGGAATTCATTGATAGTTACTTTGCCAGGTTCTAGGGGGCTCCTTTTCTTTTTTGTCGATCGAGCCGCTCCCCCTCATTCCACTCGTCCAGACCTCTTCACGAACTTGTACAATCGATGCCACAAAGATAGCCAACTCTATTATCAAAGAAATAAGGAAACGGGCGACGATTTGGCACCAGATATCCGGAGGTGTGAAAAGAGCAGCTGTGAGAAGCGGAAAAACCATCAAAAAACGACGATTGTTCGTGGAGGTTTCCACAGAAAGACCCCTCGGTTCTGGCAAACGGATCACAATTACAGGTACCTGGGAGCATACCGATGGAATGAACAAAATACGAATAGTTAACATAATATAGTCATAGATCTTAGGTTGTAACTTGATCATGAGCGAATTTGTTGATGTTGCACCCACGAAGTATGGAAAGTGCCAAACATTGGGAACTACCCGGGGAGGAGTTAGGAACAGGAACAAGGAGAAGCGAAAACCACTTAAATGGAGGAATCGATTGTATTTCGTCCTTTGTTCCCCATAGCAACTGGGAATCAAAAAGCACCAAATTTGATGACTTATTAAAGGAAAGACGAAATAAGAGCATGCTATTGAAGACGTTGCAACATATGTCGGGAAGGCTTCCGTTGATTGTGTACAAACAAAATACGAGTCCAAAGGCAGGGTAAGAAAGGGTTTAGCTAATGGAGATATTAACTCCTCCGGGAACCAGTAACGCGTAAACCATGTCAAACCAAGACCGATCAATATCCGAACGGAACGGATTCGAACTTCTCCTAGAATAGTTTCCGGTGCGAAATGAATAGGATATATATGAGTAATTCAAAGGAGAAATATAAAGATTTTATTGATAGGATTCGATTCATTGCTCAAGGAGTACTAAAAAAGGTGCTAACGGCAGCGGACTACTTTTGGGGTAAATAATCCACAATAAGGGGTTTGAGGAGACTTGGATCTCCTCTTATTCTCTCCGCCCATTCGCGGAGACTATCCGTGTCAGTCTCCCCAGAGAGCTCCAGCTGCGCCATTAGATTGTGGGCGGCTTCAGAATTGAATTCCCTCTGTTCCGGAAACTGAGTGGACAGCGGACCCCGCCCCCTTTCGGATTCTGCACGAATCTGTTCTTGGATTAAGACATGAAGTTCCCTTCTGAGTGCCGCAACCTCCTCTTGGTTAGGAACGGGATGGGCAACTTCAGCGGGTGCTGGCGCTTGCGGAAGCGCCTCTTGAGCCGCCTCCGGGGAAGCGACTGGATTAGCAGGAGGAAAAGGTATAGCCGCCTGCTCCAGCGGGCCCTCTCTTGATGTGTCTGTGCCATAAGACGACTCCTCAAGGACCCGTAATCCGAATGAATCTTCCTCCCATGAGGAGGAGCTTGGTGTGCCAGAAGGTCCGGCATCCGCACCATTCCTCTCTGGCCCTTGGTTGACGCTCGGTTCCGAACTGGAACTCCTACAAGCCAATCAGGCAGTCTAGCTCCACTTTACTACGATATATCTTGCTCTTGTTTTGTTCGATCACAAACAGTCAAACCAGCTACCGAAGAAGAGATACTCAATCCGTTACCATGACTGATAGGATGATCAAGCAAGGCAGTCCATAGACTGTTCCGCAAAGCAGTAAACTCTGTACTCTAGGGTACCGAAAAGAGAACTCCTCGAATCACAACCCTATGAACTGAACGATGTTACCGCAACGGGCTAGTTCCTGCGAATGCAAAGCCTTACTACTTGAAGAGGAAAACCTTACCAAAACCAAGAACCAACGGAAATCAGTATGCAAGGCAGGCTCAGGCAAGCAAGCCAAGGTTGGATTATTCGACCGTACCCAGGTTCCTTTGCTCTCAAGCCTTGCTTGAAGGTGAAGTTTCAGTCTAGAGGCTAGGAGCGAGGCTCTTTCCCTACAAATATGCGGATTCTTCTTATGCTATTGCTATGGTGGTATACGCCATGGGCTGGGAACAACGGTAAACGTAAGGCCTTGTTTACTTTTCGAAAGTAGGCTAGGCTTGCTGCGTAAGAGAAAGTGAAACTCACTACTCGACCAAATCCGAGTTTTTTTAATCAACCGACTAAGCGGACTAGGAAGGGCCAGCTTTAGACCATCCTCCGATGTAAGCTAATCACTCGATTTTGAAAGCTATTGAGATGGAAGGACCTGAACTGGCTTAGATGTCCGAACTTTGATGTCTTAAGCATTAGTTGACTTAAGTTCATCTTTCTTGGAAATCGAAGCCAAACGTACATCGACTTTTCTAGTCTTGACTCAGACTAAATACACCTTGGATCTGCTTACTCGCACTCATATGCAAGACTCCAAGCCATGTCCCACACCCCTTGCGTCTGGCTCAAAGCTCTCTGCATACGAGGCCTCTCTCTGATGCAACAGAATATCGTAGCATTGTTGGCGCCCTTCAGTACCTCACTCTCACCAGATCTGACATCTGCTATGCTGTCAATCAAGTTTGTCAGTTCATGCACGCTCTCACCACCGTACATCTCCAGGCTGTAAAACGCATCTTACGGTATCAGAAGGGTTCTCTTGGCCTAACTATCACTCCGGGACTGTTAACCACCTTCTTTGCATTCTCCGATGCCGACTGGGCTGGCTGTCCCGATAGCAGACGGTCCACTACTGGCTTCTGCGTATTTATCGGAAAAAACCTACTGACTTGGGTTTCCAAAAAGAAACCGACTCTTTCTAGGTCTAGTGCCAAAGCAGAGTACAAGGCACTCGCCCTTACTACCTCTGAACTTTTATTGCTTTCTTACTCCTTATTCTTTTCTTTTTTCTTACTTAATTTAATTAATCCATACTTTTTTAGAAGTGTGGGGCAAAGAGCGACTTCTACTTCTAACTAAAGGCGAACAGCCGGCATTGCAAGCAAATAGAGAGCCTCCGCCCGTTTGAGTCGTTGCGAGCCGGAAAGCGTACCGGCAGTTTGAGTCGCAAAAGGGCCGCTTGCTTAATTATATTATTATAATTAATAATAGATATATAATTATATATATATAATAATATAATCCATTTTTTTTATCTAATTCTTCATTCCTGAGAAGAGGAAGAAGCAGATAGAGCAAAGGCCTCCCCTTGCCTTCCGTCCGCTCTTCCCGAAGTGAGCGAATTGCATGTAGAGATCCGTAGGGGCTTATAGTTTAATTGGTTGAAACGTACCGCTCATAACGGTTATATTGTAGGTTCGAGCCCTACTAAGCCTACCACATCATGATTGGATAACCACGCACAGAAGATGATTTCGGGGGAACGGGAGTGCCTTCTTTTATCGTCTTTATGGTTGGTGATATTCATTCTTTCTCTCTCGACTCATAGCATTCAGTATTCAAGTGCGTCTTTCTAGTTGTCGAGTATCTCGTTCAATCGCTTGAATAGGTCCAACCGGGAATCTTGAATCTCTAACGATCGCATCTTTCTGTCTGATCGGAGGTGGCTAAGGTGGATTCATCATGGAAGTCTACGGTTTCTGCGGTCAGCTCGCCCATTCACCTGAAAAGACTGAACTTGCTGCTTTCTTACTTGATGGCATTCCCCGGACTTCCTTTACCGGAAGGCGTGCACTTAACTGAAGTAATGGATGGCAGTGGAACTCATTGCCTCTGTCCCTGTTTTCCCGTTCTGCTTGCTCCTCTAGCTCATCAATGCCGGAAGTCGAGCTGCTATCGATCCTGGAATCAAAGACAGGTTGGGACAACTCCATTCCCATCTCGTATATCACAGACTTTCGTTCTTGCTTTCTTTCGTTTGGGCTTCCTCCTCTTTCTCACCTGTCTGCTGCTCTGCTATAAGCCGAAACAGGGCCAGCGCTGGAAGAAGACTTGCCCGAGGAGATAGTGGAGTGGCTCTCGTTCCTTCACCTATGCCCCAGTTTCCTCTGGTCGACTAAAGCTCACTGCTAATGGAAGGGCGCGGCTGGCCGATTCCCTCTAGTGGGTTAACTCATTCACCACCAAGAGAAGAGAAAGTCAAGGGATTGGAGAATCTATAGTTTATGCTTCCCCTGTTCATGAATCGGGTCCGTTCCCGAATCTACTTTTAGACCTCAATTGAATGACGAAAGCGAAGGGCGCCTCTAAGAGATCAAAATCAATCTCTTCAAATATCATAGATCAAGAAAGGGCTTTTTCTCAGGCTGACTTTCTGACTTGAAGTCTTTCCGTTCCCGATTCAATTACAGCTGTTCTCGCTAAAGCCGGATCTGATCCCGCTTGAGAAAAAAATCCTGATCTTCCAATTGCGTCAATAAGAGAGATGCCTGAATCGGACATATGAGATGAGCCCGTAACCCGTCGCTTTTTTCGTGAAGACCAGATGCGCTCTTAGCTTCATTTCAAGATGCCAAATCTTTCTCAACTTTCATTGGCGGGGCTCTTCATCTATCAATCGAAGGTGAGAGTTGGCTTCATTGCTTGGTTTTTGAAGACGGGAGAGATCTCAGATCAGGTTCAACCTAAAGTGAGTCATCATAGGTAGGGTTCCGCTCCTTGCTTTGAGGAACGGACAGACCAGACAGTCGTGATTGTCTTTCTTTCTTTCTCTTTCTTGCCTGAGACCGGGCTTCAAAGTCAGAGCCTATCCTCCTTCACCTCTTTCATGAATTGGAGGGCCTAGTCCGTCCAGGGATCAGATTCGAAAGTGATTCCAGAAGTGTGAAATATTAGAACTGCTCACCTCACAGTCCTAAGTGGTGACTCGCTCAACGATTCTAACCTAACTAGGCACAGAGTCTCGGCTGCTTTTCCGAAACCGACCCCTTACTTGCTTCAAAGCCGGAAGAGGGGCAGCAGTTGACTGAAACCTCTCCTCTGGCCGGGAAGTAAGTGCGACGGGACCCACTCTCGCCGTTACTTCTATTTCTTCTTTTAAGAATCAATCTGTAGGTGGGCCTAAACTCGACTGATTCCAGGTTCAATCGGTGTTGGATCTGTTCTCAGCTGGGGAGTCAACTCGCCCCGGACGCTGGGAGAGGGCCCGATCTGAAGTCCGATAGGATGCATAAATGAACCGGCGCTGTCAAGATTCCAAGCAGTGTCAGTCGCCGAAGTGACTGGGTCCATAGGAGCTTAGCTGACACAGCCGTCGGATTGGTATCCCTCCCAACCCATCGGATCATTCACCTCTTTGACTGACTTTCAGTCCTTTTTCCGACGGACGAGTCTACCTTGACCGCACCCAAAACTTGCCTTGTCCCCTATTCCTACTCCCTTGTCTTCAACCCTTTCCCCAGCTCAGTGAGACACCGACCAAATGGGCCAGGAGGGAGGAGATACGAATCGAAAAGAATGGAACAAATGCGGTCGATAAGAAGCTCCAGAGCCCTACTTCTTGCTCCCCTTCGGCCGGTGACGGAACGGAATGAAAACAGAGTGAATGACAAGCTCTAGAGAAGGATGCGGACCTTAGTTACCGATGGCTGTGGATCGAGACCAAATTCGTATTCCCGAGGCATAGCAGGCGGCAAGTATAAGATTTTCCATCCGCTTATCATATTTTCACAGCTCTAGAGCTTGGTGAAGGGGGTGCAGCCCGAGTGGCTAGCCGGCCAAGCGAAAGAAATGTACAGGAGCGATAGACACTTAGCCGCTGTTTCGGTTCTTAGTATCAGAGCAAACTCCTCTGGATCGTTCCGGTACCGGTGCTCTTCGTGTTGAGGCGCACTGATGAGACAGTAACCCCTGACTGAGTTAGGAGTGAGCCTTAGTGCGCGTTTAGAGTTCTATGGTAAGTTTTATCTGAGTTGAGTGAAGCGGTTATCGGCTTTACGAGCACCACGTTAAGGCCTAGTTTTGTAGCCAAGTCAGTAGCCTTTCCTTCTGATCTGATCCTCGTTTTCAGTAGGGTCAGGATCGGTAGAAGAGAAAGAGGCCAGTCCTGCTTGACTTTGACTCTTTCCTTGCTTGGGTGGTCTCGTATTATAGACTTGAAGCCAAAAAGATGGGGTTGGATAAAAGGAGATCTTTTTTTCGATGCTCTACGAAGGCAAATTTGAGGTAGGCCAATTATCCCGAGGGGGATAACTTTCCATATGACTATTTAAATAAGGAGTCAGTCTAGTCGGTCATGAACGGCTTTCCTTCCTTCCCCCAGGATCTGTAACTTCTTCCTCTAGAAATAACATATTAACAGCCCCTAGTGAGAGTTTTCACTCCCCTTCCTCTTCTATGAGTGGCTGAGGCCAAGACATCTTCAATCTCTTCCCCAAAGGATTCCAGTCTATTCCCCCTTCTATCTGAGTCGGATCCCCCCTCACTGAACTAATTCATGTAGCGAATCCAAAAAATGATGATGTCAGCCTATTCTTGCTTTCCCGTCCCTTTATCTATTCCTTTGCATTGTCCGAGTCTTCTTTCATTCCCGCTAGTACCATTGAAGCAGGAGTCTTTTAAGCCAGGATAAAAAAAAGATGAATGGTAATAGATCTAGGAATAAGGTGTTATGTATTCATGATCAGGAGGGGAATAGGCTTGAGGGAGAGCAAGCTGTCCACCTCTTGACCAAATCTGTAACCTTCATTAGCGGATTCATTTTCTGTGGTTTCCCTGATCAAACTAGAGGTTACCAAAGAACCATGCATAGCACTGAATAGGGAGCCGCCGAATACACCAGCTACGCCTAACATGTGAAATGGGTGCATAAGGATGTTGTGCTCAGCCTGGAATACAATCATAAAGTTAAAAGTACCAGAGATTCCTAGAGGCATCCCATCCGAAAAACTTCCTTGACCGATTGGATAGATCAAGAAAACAGCAGTAGCCGCCGCAACAGGAGCTGAATATGCAACAGCAATCCAAGGACGCATACCCAGACGGAAACTCAGTTCCCACTCACGCCCCATGTAACAAGCTACACCAAGTAAGAAGTGTAGAACAATTAGCTCATAAGGACCGCCGTTGTATAACCATTCATCAACGGATGCCGCTTCCCATATTGGGTAAAAGTGCAACCCTATAGCCGCAGAAGTAGGAATAATGGCACCAGAAATGATATTGTTTCCATAAGATCCAGAAACAGGTTCACGAATACCATCAATGTCTACTCTTAAATATTTCACATTTTCTATGATCATCTTTATAAAGAGCTAGATCAGTATTTTATCTGGGACGAATTCCTACTTACTTTTCTTAGTAATGGTAACGGAGGTATGCCAAGCCAAGGGAAGCTCGGGCCAACCTATGTCTCAGTAGCTGCCCGAGAAAGGACCACTCAATCCAGACAGGTTCTCGCAACTGCCTTTCAAACAGGACCTCGAGAGGCAAGCCATGGAAGTACCGCTAGGTAGGGAGCGAGTTCCTACTTCATTGGATGTCTGATCAAAATGAGGGCTTCCAACTGAGATTCATGAAGAGAGGACCCGTGTCGAGCCTATGAAAGAGTATGCCCGAGTGGAACTGATAAGATCAAAAGACCCGACAGAGCAGGAAGTGACCAAGTGCAGTTGACTACAGAACCTGCCCCGTCTATCTTATCGAGATCTAGAGGATGACCCCTGAACGGATTAAGATCAGCTTCGACCAAACCTAGGGTCTACTACCGGTTCTTTACAAGGGCCGGGCCCACTATGAAATACAGTGGTACGTGAGTCGGAGTTTGAAGCGGATTGCAAGGTAGCTGGGGAGGATAATACTGAATTTCTTTTTCAAAGCTGGAATGTCTCAAACTAGGTGCAGGCCAATTGACCAATGCTTGGGGCCTTTATTTGCTGGGGAGAGAAGGACTCTTTCCTAGAATGTAGCCTATCAGTAGAAACTCTATCCTGGAATTGAGACCATTTAGTTTGGCAGTGAAGCGTGAGTCGTCACTTCTGCACTGGTTGCAAGAACAAGGTTCCTCTCGCACTCGCCCGCATAAGATAGAAAGGAGTCTATGACAACCACGAGTGACTCTTTCTTTACTGGATTGACAACATGAGAGGCTTTACAGACAGAGAAAGGAATGAATTGAATCTGATAGCGGCTTAGGAGACTACTTTTGTATACCCTGATTCAAGGACAAATAGCCTAATTCCAGTGCTACCAATATACTGGATTCTATGGCATCTAGGTGCGCTTTCACCCTTTCCAGCTACCGATTTCTCTCAATCCTAAAGAGTGCAGTCTCAATTCGCTACTTATCGCTTTAGTTTCCACAACCTGTCTGAACAAGAAGTCGACTTATCGGCGAAGGGAATTACGAACAAACTGTATTCGCGGTGAGTCGATGACCCTGTTCTTTTTCTTTATTCGTGCGAGGGGTACTTCCTGTCATATACCGGGTATGGGGTACGGTGGGACTTCTGAGCTGTTGGGGTGAGCTATTGGTCTGGTCCTGACGCTGGGGTGCGAAAGAAAGAAAACAGAGTAGGGGTACCAGCGCTTTCATCCCCAATCCTTCTCAGTAACGAATTCCCTTACAAACTACCAATATAACTCTGCGCCATGCCGCCCGTATCTTTTAGCAAGCCCTACCTCTTAGCTAGCGGAAGAATGCTTTCTTTCTATAGCTATAGTGTATGCTCTAGTTAGCAAGTTAGAAAAGAGAGTTCTAAAATAGGAGAGAGTTAATATTAAATATCCCAACTAGACCTAAATAAAGAGTCTTCCTAGCCAACCTATCTAATGTTCCTACCATTGATATTTACGCTCCAGCTAGTTCAGATTGCCTTCCTTCTCTTGCTGCTGCTCCACATAAGGCTCTCACCAAGTAAGCAAGACTAGCTGGCTGGGTGAAGATATGAGTCCTCGAACTCGCTGGCAGAGCTATGGCTCTAGACTCAAACTCAAATTGAGTAGGCAACTCATGTTCCACTGAGTGGAAGGCTTACAACTGTATGAGCTTATGACTAGCTTTGAGGGCTGGCAGAAAAAATAAATTCTCTTTTTTGCTATTCGATGGGAAAAGGCTGATTTTGAGTAGGCAAAGACTGGACTGGCTAGCCTAATAGGTAAGGGATGAAATAAGAATTTATTGCTTGAACTATAGGAACCCTAGAACATAACCGGATCTATAAAAAGGTCTCTCTCCCGCCGATCTATCCGCTCGCTTGCTCAAAGGGACCTAAAAAAAGGTTTGACCTTAAACTTTTACTTTCACTGGTAAGGAGGAGACTTCTCACTGCTACTGTCCATAGAGTAACTTGTACTACGGCTAGAAAGTACTTGCTACAAGGGCTGGCTGGATGGACGAGAAAAAGGGAGGTTGCATTAGAGCTCCTGGGGCTGAGTGAAGACTTTCTCCTTAGGGACGGATACTACTTTCAAAATCAATAGATAGAAATAGGAGATTTCCCCTTATTATTGATAGATTCCCTCTCTATCCATTCCTACTCTTTTGATCAGATCAGCAGGCTTCTATCAATCGATTTTCAAATCGCACGTTCATATCGCTTTTCGTTCATTTTCGCCACGCCAACATAGCCATCAAAATAAGAAGCAGGCGAAGCAGCTAGAAGCTGACGCTTCTAGCCCTTTCATTATTCTTATTCACGAATGAATTGGGAAAGCCAACAGAAAGATTCGATTCTGACTTCGTGGAGCCGGTGCTGCTGTTGCCTGCGCGTAGGGCCGTCTTCCACTCCCGTCCCGGGGCGCTAAGGGGCTTTTGTTTTTGGAACAAACGGCAGTCTTTTGCTGACGCCTCGAATCAAGCTTTTATTGCGACATGCTATGTTTTCTCCCCTATTGCTAGTAGGTTGATGGGTCGCACGCCCGGCACACATGTTTTGGCCTTGTGTGTCCATAACTCAAAATAGGTGACCTAACGGCCGCCGCCCGACTAAACATACCAATAGTCACCAGATTCATATGGGCTACTGAGGAGTAAGCAATGATCTTCTTAAGATCGATCTGTCTTGAAGTGGTCAAGGAAGTATATATTATAGCAATCGCGCTTGGAGTATAAATGAAAGGAGTGGAAAAAAGTGTCGCTTCGGGAAACATGGGTATTGAAAATCTTAAAAAGCCGTAGGTTCCCAATTTTAAAGGAATTCCTGCCAAGATGACGGATCCTGCCGTAGGTGCCTCTACATGAGCTTCGGGTAACCAAATATGAACTGGTACCATAGGCACTTTGACGGCGAAAGAGGCGAAAGAAGCAATCCATAGAAAGATTTGGCGCCGCTCACTAAATTCTGTGGTTAATGATATTTGTAAATCGGTGGTTCCTGTTTGGAGAAGAATCAAGAGAATAGCTAATAGCATAAAAACAGATCCAAGTAAAGTATAAAGGAAAAACTGATATGCTGCCTTGATCTTTCTTTGTCTCGAACCCCATACCCCTATAATAATGGTAGAGTAAGGGGTGGCCCCAAAGCGGAATTGACCGGTGGTGGTTGGTCGAAGCTCCAGTAGGTAGCCACTCCCTTCTCAGGGAACCGTACGTGAGACTTCCGCATCATACGGCTCTGTCCCGAGCTTCCGTCGTCGGCCCTTGTCATTAGACCACTATCTATGCATGTATTTTCAGCCTGGGACTCTCGAATCTTTTGCTTCTCGGGTGGTGGCGAACAATGCAGCTTGCGTTGCGGGAGATGCCTGCCCGTAGGGCCCGGCCTGCTTCTCGCCCGAAAGAACCGCTCACTAGCTAGCCGAACTAGTGGGGCCCTATCTGGAGACATACTGAAAACCATGCCTTTCGAACCGAACGCAAGGCCCGTCTTCCAAATCAAAAGAGAAATGGGCTCGTTGGGAAGAAAGATAGAGTGCGGCCTGTAGAGCACATGTAACGCACAGTCGGGTTGTTCACGCAGGGGATCTCTCTCTATCTATAGATAGAGAGAGGGAGATGTGAAAGTAATAGCCTTCTGTTTTGGTCGCCCCCCGACTTACGGCCTTTACGCTACTACTACTGTGATGTGAGCGGTTCAAATGAGTTTGATCTTTCCCAATTTTCCTGGCCGGAACTTGTACGCAGCACTTATACGTAGGTGCATGCATAAAGGTTTGGAACTCTTTTCTTATCTGAATCTTAAAGACAGGACCCTAATTCTCGAACCCTCTGCCGAGCCCCGCCCCCGCATTCCCTTTTGAAGGGGGCCAAAGAAAGGTCTCCACCTGTTGCCAACAGTCTTTCTTCGGAATTATACTGAACGGGTCGATCCTCACCTCTCCTTTGTTTTAGCAACTTATCCTAAGGTCTCCTCGCCAAGAACTCCCCGGCGACGACAGA